CCTCAAGGTATCTGAATGTCAGAAAGGTCAGAGATTGAAACAAAAGTAAAGAAAAATAATGACAATTGCATTAATATTATGCATAATCTTAATTATATCAGCATTGCTGATATAATTCTGATAGATGCCAAATGACATTAAAGCAACATTGAAGGATACAAACAGAGTTGTGGATTAATTAGAGACCTTCTATTCCTGTTTTTCTGTAACACTTTCTCAATTTTATCAACAACAAATCCAGTGTGCATTGTCCTTCACATTTACAACATGCTGGAACAAAAGGCTTAAATTTATCTTTGTTTAAAGCGTGTAACAAAGTAAGAAACAGGAGGAATTTATAATTCTGCACAAACTGTTTTATTGAGGATATGCATTTATTTAAAGGACGATACTTTTATTCTATATTAACCTTGAATTAACCATTATTGTCAGCCTGTTTGAATTATGAGTTGATACCACAATAAATGAATGGATAGCTGTTAATAATCCAAAGAATGCAAGGCATACAATGTTTTTAAATTTAATTTAAATGTGCATTGTTCACCTCATTTGCTAGTTGTGACATAGGTTTATGATTTATTTTGCTTATGGTAAAACCAATGTAGTGCAAAAAGAGCTTAAGTGTTCTGTACCAAACAAAAGGTTGTTCCAAATGTTCTCTGAAATTAGAACATTAAAGTTCTATGTTGGAAATATCTATGAAATTCATGCAACATGTCACTTCCTTAGCCTTTCCAACTTCAAATTCAAGACTGTTGATGTGCAAGTTTCCCATGCCTCCAGTAAAAAAAAGTCCCAGCAAAACAAAATTGTATTTTTTTCAATGCTGAAATATTTGCTCTGCCAATGAAATATTGCTATGATTATTTTTTAAAGTTGATTGATTAAACTTGGAACTAGAAAATCAAGATTGCCCAGCATCAATAGAACATGATATTTGCAATATTGTTGGGGAGTTACAGAACAAAACCAGCTTCTATTCATTTTATAATCTCTGCAGCAGCATCAAGTATTTGTTTAATCAATTTTTAGAGTTTATTTTTTTGCATACACTATTGTTCTAAAAGTTTTATTTTTAGGGGATAGTTTGTTAAATATAAGATGACCTTTCTGTTTTTTATTTTGCAATTTAATTCCTGCTTAGAGCATTTGTATAATTCTTGAAGCCAAGATTTTTCTTACATAGAAGATTCCAGCATATTAGGATGACAAGCAAAGCTGACAGGGGATTTCTGCTTGACCTTATCCTTTAATAAGGAATGACATTAGCTTCTGGCCACATTTTCTCCCCCCTGCCTTGCTCAGGTTTGAGAAATGTTATCTATAGTGTGGAGAAGACTGCCTATAAGACCCTCCGGTCATCACCATCTAAACATTCTCTGGAAAGAAAGGACTAAAACACAAATCAATGTGAAGTCGAAGCCACCAAATACAATCTGTAGAGAGGGAAGCCAATTGAATGTGTGTTTGTGTTTTTATAGATTCCAAAACAGTGCTCTATCGGTAAGTCCATACCATGATTCAGCTTTCAGAATATGACAACGATAACAAAAACCAACAGAAAAGCCCACAGAGCGCATAGAATTTATATAACTGCGGCAGCCCTCTGTGCTGCAAGCATTTGGCTCCAGCTATTTCTTTGTGATAGCCTTTCAAAGAACATTTGAAGCTAAAATTGGTTCTTGTCAGCTAAAAACAACTTTCAGTTCAAAAGGGTCACCAAGCTACATGAACGGAATGCCAAAAGGTCTGCAATACATTAAACTGATTTCCTTCTTTAAAGCTAACATTTTCCCAACAGTTAGAAACATCCTTAAAGGTGGCCTTTTAGAGCAGATGTGTGTACATGAACCTCTCCAGTCTATAGTCTAAAGGGCATATTTTACTTTACATTGAAAAGTTATGTATTTGGTTCATCATGATCTGACCGATTCCATATTCTATTTGCTGTGCCAGACAAACATATTTTTAAGCTTATGGATCCCCACTTGTTATTTTACTTTCTTTTGCCACTATAAAATGCTTTAGTTCATCAACTGAATTTTAGTTTCCTGCATTAGCGAGCAACTCTTTAAATAATTCAGTTCGATTTAATTTATTTATATAGCGTCAGTTCAAAACACATGTCATTTGAAGGCACTTTACGGAGACAATTCAATCAGATCACACATTCAAGTTGGTTTAAAGTTTTCTATCTAAGGAAAACAAGTTGATTGTATCGACTTATTGACTCTAAGGCAATCCTTCACACTAAGTAAGCATGCTTGTAGTGATGGTTAGAGGAAAACTCCCTTTTAAAAGGAAGAAACCTCTAGCAGAACCATCTAATCTGATCTAATGAGACCAACTAGGGTTCAAGGAGACAGAAGCAGACATACAGAAAAAAAGCAGAGATACAAAAAGTAACTCTTAATCCGCTCCACAGGCGGCTAGTTCCAGGAAACACACAGCCTGGCAGACGAGCTCCGAGCCAGCTCCCATGATGGAGGATGATTTAGTCACAGTCAGAGAAACAGAAAAAAACTGAAAAAAGGCCAAGCTTCAACATCTATAAACAAAGGTGTTGATGGCAGCAGCACAGCTGATATTTCTCTCCAGGATGGTGTGGCAGACAAACAGGAACAGACCAGATGAAGCTACCATGACAAAAGGCAGAGAGCCTAAAGTTAGAGATTGAACTAATAAATATAGAATGGGAGAATAGAGATAGAATGAATCAGAATGATGAAGAGGGGTCCCTATGTCCTCCAGCAGTCTAAGCCTATAGCAGCATAAATATAGAGATAGCTCAGGATAACTTGAGCCAAACTAACCAAACTTTATCTAAAGGAAAGTTTTAAACCTACTATTAAAAGTAGACAGGGTGTCTGCCTCACGGACTAAAACTGGTAGTTGGTTCCACAGGAGAGGAGCCTGATAACTAAAAGATCTGCCTCCTATTCTGCTTTTAGAAATTCTAGGAACCACTAGTAAATATGCAGATGGAAAACGAAGTGCTCTGTTAGGAACATAAAGAACAATCAAATCCATGATATAAGATGGAGCTTGGCCATGTAAGGCTTTTTATATTAGGAGGAGGATTTTAAATTGTATTCTGGATTTAACAGGAATCCAATGGAGAGAAGCTAGGATAGGAGAGATATGATATGAAGGCTTTTAGCTACAGTTTCTGAATTTTCTGATGGTAAACAATTACAATAGTCCAGCCTTGAAGTAAAAAAAAAAAAAAAAAAAAACATGTACTAGAAACACTATGAATTAATTTAGCAGGTGAATATCGAGTCGAGTGTGGTTATCAATGATGTCATAGGTAAGTTATTAATGTCAAGTACCGAGGACAGATGGACCCAGTATTCAAGGAGAGACAGTCAGTAGGAAAATGTCAATTCAATTCAATTCAGTTTATTTATATAGCGCCAAATTCACAACACATGTCATCTCAAGGCACTTTACAGTTCAACCAGATCATACAGTCAAATTGATACAAAGTTTTCTGTCTAAGGAAAACCAGTTGATTGCATTGACTCATTGACTCAAATACAATCCCTCACACTAAGCATGCTTGTAGCGACAGTGGAGAGGAAAAACTCCCTTTTAACAGGAAGAAACCTCCAGCAGAACCAGGCTCAGTGTGAGCGGCCATCTGCCGAGGCCGACTGGGGTTCAAGGAGACGGAAGCAGAGACACAAAAAGCAGCTGTAAAAGGCGGCCCCGTCCAGGAAACACACAGCCAGGCAGACGAGCTCCGAGCCAGCTCCCATTCCAGAAAAAATTCAAACGTTTATTAAATAAAACCAAACAAAAGCGGAGCTGTGGATCGCGGACACGGCAGGGGGGGGGGGGGGGGGGGGGGGGGGGGGGGGGGGGGGGGGGGACCGCCCAATCTCAGACACTCTGTAGTGGGAGAAACACAGGTAAGTGACCACAATCAACTGATAGAAGATTATCTGTGATGGTCACTTACCTGGTTTAACAGTCCAGACCACGAATGTCCCCAAGTGCTGCAGTCCCAGAGGTTATGCTGGAAGCCGGCCCTGGTCAGGGATCCAAAACAGACAGGAACAGACAGAACAGGCAGGATCCAGATCAGGCAGGAACAGAAACAGGTGGCAGGATCCAGACTTCCAGGCATCCACAGGCTCCCAGGAGGGTTCAGAGTCTGACTGGGACCAGAAGCATGACCAGGTGGTCACGCACAGGAGCAGACAGGATCAGGTGCAGACAGGCAGGCTCAGTAGAAGAGGGTAGCAGAGACAGGACGTGGAACCGGAACTTGAAGCAGGACTTTAAACTGGTCTCCTCCCTGGAGCCAGGCTTACTGGATAAAAACTGAACCTCCCCACATATTGAGCCAAAAACCCAGAGGACTCCGCGGGGGAGGAACAGTGGACGATCAGGAGACGAGACAAACACAAAAACCCTCTTTCCACTGGCTGCTAGGATCCAGGACATGAACCATGAACTAAAACAAAACAGACAGACTGACAGAAAGACAAGCAATGATCTGGCACTGAATGCTCAGGCTGAACTGAATATAACCAACAGGAAACAGGTGAGAGGAATAAATTATAATTGAGGTAGGGAGGGAAAAAACGACAGGTGAAAAGACTAATTAAGGGAGAGCAAACGGGCCGGATCATGACAATTAATACATACCTCAATGGTATGCACAAATCTGAATATTATCTATCAATCAATATCCATACAAACTCACATATAAATTAGTATGTGTGTATACGCACATGCTTATACACAGTTATATTCTTACTTTAAATACAATTTAATAATCCAGTGTTTACTTCCTAAAAAGTTTATCATTAAAAATCCTATTTTTCCTCTACTTAGTGCTGACGTTCCTATGAATACTTATTACATTCTAATAATACATGTTCCACTGTTTCCATCTGATTTTAGTAATTACAAGTCCCTGTGTCATGGTTCCCTATATTCTTCCCTAGAGTCTTCCTTCTTCAACAGCCAATCAGCGCAGGTACATTGTAATGACGTCAACAACCACCCAGTTCAGGAAGCTGGAAGTTTCATGGTTCTCAGAGTTCGACTATTTCTTCTAACCCGTTTTAAAACCAGCAGAACTTAAGTCAAAGGAGGAGAGAGGGGAAGTTTTAGCTGTCGTAACTAAAAGGCACGTGTCTTTTTTCTGGAAATACACTTTTTCTTGTCGCTGTACCGAAGTCGGAGGGGGCAGGTTTCCACATCAGTCATCTGAAGATGCTAACCTCAAGTCTCCCAGCTAACGCCTTTACTGAACTCCATGATGACCAGGCACAAAAAGTAAGTTCCTGATACCGAATAATAAATCTACTCTTTGGGTTTCGGGGAGGACTGGAGGTGTAATTACTATATTATAATCCGAGAACTGGCTTTCTGCGGCTGGGAGGTCAAAGCAGGTCAAAAGCCTGAGCTAGCGATAGCAACAGTTTCCCTGTTGTCCAACCGTTTGTTTACACAAAACCTCACGGAGATCCGTGAGGGAGCAGTAAGACTGGGCAGCTCCCAAACAGAGTAGTAAATATTAATGTATCTGTTAGCTCTTGATAAAAGTTTTATTTAGTTTTTAACATTATATGAGTGAAAATCAGAAAATATTATTTAAAGGTAAAGTCCAAATAATTCAGACCCTTCAACCAAAAAACACACTGGTAAGAAAATAGGATATTATACAAAAGGTATTACTTTAATAAAATCTATATTTTTTGTTCACTTTATTTAAAAAATCTCATGTAAACGTATTTTTGCCTCATTAATACTAAATGGAAGGAATGGATTATTTTTAAATGACAAAAGTTAAGTCTTAAAATGTTAGAATAAAAACTATTTAAGCCGCTTACACTGAGCCTGGTTCTGCTGGAGGTTTCTTCCTGTTAAAAGGGAGTTTTTTTCTCTCCACTGTCGCTACAAGCATGCTTAGTGTGAGGGATTGTATTTGAGTCAATGAGTCAATGCAATCAACTGGTTTTCCTTAGATAGAAAACTTTGTATCAATTTGACTGGATGATCTGGTTGAACTGTGAAGTGCCTTGAGATGACATGTGTTGTGAATTTGGCGCTATATAAATAAACTGAATTGAAATTGAATTGAAATTTTGTTTCAGTTGTTTTGAATTTTGCCATTTTTTTTTTACAGATTTCTTCACAAGATTATCTGTCAGAATAAATCCAAAAACTCTGATCTGGCTGTTCCATTTAGGAGTCTTTTGGATGAAAAATCCATTATTTCCCATATTTACCTTAAACATAGTTGCATCTGTGAGGTTTATCTTTTATGGCGGAGTAGAAGGGCCAGGTTAGAGATTTTGTTTATTTTTTTATTTTGAGAATAAAGTCGTAACTTTACAAGAATAAAGTTTTAACATTACGAGAATAAAGTTTTAACATTACGAGAATAAAGTTGTAATATTACGACAATGAAGTCATCATACAACAACCCGTTTCAGAAAGAAAGCTTCGAGCTCTGACCAGCATATGATGGCTGACTAGCTCCACCAATCAGCAACCTGTGTCCACTTTGACATTCTGCCCAATTTGATGCTGTTGCTAAAACATTTCCTGATTTGTCAAACCAGAGCTAAAGTTTAATTTCACATAATGCTCGACATTCCTCATTTTAGTGAAGAAGTGCTTCTTGTAGGATTTGTCATAAAATACAACTTGTTTCTTGTAATTTTAGGACTTTATTCTCTTAATGTTACGACTTTATTCTCGTAATTTTACGACTTTATGCTCGGAATTTCACAACTTTATTCTCGGAATTTTATGATTTTATTCTCATAATATTATGACTTTATTCTCTAAACAGAAGAAAAAAAAATCTATAGCCTGGCCTTAATACTCGTCATAATCTTTAGCATAAAATGCAGTAAGTAAATATCAGGGGTTTCATTTATAAAGGTTACTGATGCCTAAAACAGGGGCCTGAAACTTGCATCACTTTCCACTCAAAGGTTGTGATATATGAAAATAAAAACTTGATTGGAAAATGTGCGGTTCTCACTGCAGCTCTGACTTATAGGTATGATATTATGAAGACAGCGGAAACAAGTGGTGCAGATGGAGAGGTGTGGAGTTGAAGCCACGCTGATTTTTAATTTGGATCACACATTTAACCTCACTCCATATTAAACTTCAGTCATAGGTTGATTTCGCCAGCATTATAAACAGCAGTGTGACATATATTCCTGCATTGGTAAGCTGTAACCATACTTAAGGAAAAAACAAAAACATACAGCAACTTATACCGTAAGCCAGCACACTGTTTAAATGTAAAAATGTAAAACATTATTGCACACTAAAAAAAGTAAACAAACAAAAAAGGTGAACTACTATTACCATTCTTCAACGTTTACATGCATTCCGTCTCCAACACATTTGAATTAAAGGAGCAGCTTGTTACCAGGCCTCTGTATGGATGAATGACTTGATTGCAGCCATTTGCTTCATGTGTGTTTGAGCATCCTCATCCAGGAGATCTGCTGCAGGATGTTATCTCTTTGGTACTGGAGCTTGTGATCCCTGCTAAACCATGCTAGTTATAGCCGAACATCATTTTGCTGCTAGAATAGGATGTAATAAATCTGTCAACCTGTTGTAAGTGAAGTAGGTTGAATCAATTTGAGTTCTGTTAACAGGGAAGGATAATGTCTAAACTTCAACTCAATTTAGAATCGCTGTGTCCAGATTTGATTGGATCTTACATACCCTTTTGACAGCAGCCTTTATGACTTGTCACAGACTAACAAGCAACGTGAAGGTCTGAATGTCAAATCATGTCTTTTATTTTTCACTGAAAATCCTCTCAGGATTTCTCAGTCTTAGTTCCAGGGACCCCTTTTCATGAATATTTTAGAATTCATATATAGCATGTGTTATTCAAATGAACGGTCAGCTTTGTCAGATTGACATTAAGCTTGAGTGCAGCTAGAAAATGACTCATTCATTTTAATCAGGTGTGTGAGGCAGAATCAGTCCAAAACATCATGGCAGCTGTTCCCTAAGGCCAGACACTGAAAGACTGCAGTGAGTCGCAACATACGAGCTACTGGAACTACTCTACATGTATAATACATGTGAGCCCTTTTTAGCCATTCTACCATGGCAGAATATGTGAAGTGAAAAAGTTCTTGTTTTGATTGTTTTGCTACATGAACAACTCAAAATGCCAAAACATAAAGCTTAGTGTTCTCATAATAAACTGCAATTCAATCCAGTTAAAACAGCAGAAATATTATTTGAATGTTCTGAATTTAAAAATTAATCTAACTGGTGAAAGATTCACACCCCCTCATTTATCCAGACTGCTTGGATTGTTCAGCTGGGAAAATTAAGTTAACTGTCGATCAAAGTCTTCGCTGGGATCAAAGCAGTGTGTGGAGCTTCAAAGCATAGAAGCAAGAGACAAAAGTTATAAAGTAGGCAAATTGTGAAAGAACATGTTTAGATTGAAATAGGCTGCGTTTGCGCTGCAGGAAATGTTTAGATCATTGGCTTAAAAAGTCAAAATCTTTGCAAATGTTTGGCTTATGCATGTGGAAAAAGCAAAATAATGACTGCCTTTGCTTTCATGCTGGATTCAGCTCTGTAGTCTTTTTTAATATCATATCATTAGTTATCACTCTAAGTATAGTAATAGTTATTACTATGCAATGAGAAGTTTTAGTAAAAAACAGGCATGAATATTTTTCAAAACTTTATACCAAAGGAAGCACAATTGTATTGTGAATAGTTTTGGTCAAACAAGACATAGGAAATACAGTGCTGCTAAAAATAGCACTTTAATTATTTTCCTGTATTTTCTTCAGCTAAAGGATTTGCTGTCCAAATGAATCATCCCCTTTCAAAGTATCCTGAGGAGTTGGGGCAAAAAGTATCTTCCTTAAAATCTTCCTTTGTTCAGCTGAACTATCTGCAAGGCTGTAAGTGAAGATGGAGATTCTTGACCCAAATTAAGGCTTACAGATGCTGACTGCACTCATAATCAATTGTATGATGCCATGAGAGAGGGACTTAAGGTACAATAAGTACATTTAGCTCCTCCTATGGAACATATTTTCCTTTTGGATTAACCTAAGATGGGAACATGAAGGGTGGACGAGAATTTTCCTTAACAAAATAACTTTTTTTTTCTTCAGATGCTTTTAGCATTTCTAATTGAGATCTTGGAGCTTTAATGCTTTAATGGAACAACTGCTCTCATGGTTTTATTTATGTGTCAAATGTTGGGAGGTGGTGGGTTAAATCACGGCATATTACTCACTACTTTCCTAAACTTGTCAGCACTGTAGATCACAAATTCAGCCTGAAACACAACTTTTCTCTTTATACTACTAATAGCTTTGCTGTTTAACAGTAGCTATACATTTTGTGGAAATACTACAAATGTATGTAATAGTATGTAGGTAGAAATACATATCAGAAAAAAAAAGATAGCACTGTTTATGAAAACATGCCAGTAATGTGACGACCAGAAATCTGGTAGCCAGGAATCAAATCTTTACCAGAAGTGAAGGGAAATGTTTGTATGTTTTTTTTCCCCATATCATAATGAGGTACATTTATGCTTAAGAATAAATTATGGATTAATTGTTCCTGCCAGACAGAAAATCCCATTGTCCTCAAAGTTTCCCCTTTGTGTTTTCTGTTAGCAACAGGAAATTATCCAGAGCTAATTTTGTAATTTACAAATTAAAGCTTTTGGTGGCCAACTTCAAGGGAATAAATGTAAATAATACTGTAAAAAAATCTGTAAAATTAGACAGAAAGGCAGATTTTATTTTAGAAATATATATAAAATCATAACAAGACATTCTAACTTTTTTTTTAGCCTTTGTAAATTTCAGTCAAGAGACCACAGTTAAGCCTCAGAACTAATATGACACGAAAGGAAGAAGAAAAATATATTTTATTTTTAGAAAGTCCAATTTTATCCCTATTTTTCATCCTTCCTCGTCCTTTTTTGTTAAACCACTATTGACTTGCATACAATTATTTCTTCGTTTTAAGAGATCATTTGACAAACTGTTTCCCAGCTTAGTAATCTTAAAGCTCAGATTAACTGAAATAATCACCTTTAAAAGAAAACCAGAAAAGCTATATAGCATGACCGTATTGATGTGAGGTGGGGAGGTTGGGTTCTGTTGCTTTTTCTTTCTACATTTACTTGATAAAAATAACACAGCCCTGTGTAGGGCTGCTGAATGCACTAATGAATGCGTAAACGCATTCACGAATCATCCAATGACGGAAATGCTAATATAATCCCCCAATATCAATATCAAAGAGACATGAGGATCTATTAAATCTCTTGATGCCAAAGCAGAATCCTTCAACTTTGAGTGTAAAATCTAGATTAACCTGCAGTAAAATTACCTATAGAAAACACATTACTCTGCTAAACACCTGTACAATGTTTACTTACTCTCTCATAAGAAAGTTTACTGTAAATTGAACAATTCTGTTCAGTTTATTTGTATATTGCTAATTAAGAGATAATCCAATCAGATTAGACAGTCAGTTTACAAACAGATGTTAAAAGCTCATCTGGCTGCTTTCTCAGTTCAGTCATCCTGATTTGTAGCTCATGTCCTCCAGCGTGTGACATCTTCTAACTGCGCCGGGTCAACCACCCCCCCAGGAACACACACACACAACATTGAGAGAGACGCGTCATTGTCTAATGAGACCGTTACTACATTTGACCACTTTTTTAATAATAAATATTAACTTCTGTTTTTGTTTTCCGATCTAGGTGGATCAATACCTGCACAAGTTCAAGTTGTCAGACAAGACTTTGATGGAGTTATCTGTTAGATTTCGGCGAGAGATGGATAAAGGCTTATGCAGGGACACGAATCCCACAGCTGCTGTCAAAATGCTACCAACCTTTGTGCGCTCTACTCCTGACGGAACAGGTAATTTTTTCTTTATAGCAAATCTGTTTTTTTTTTATAATGCTCCATTAAAAACAGCTTCTAAACGTTTGAAGTAGGTCTTTTGGTGAGGGCAGGAAGTCCACTGTAATGTCAAATCCATTCGAATGTCAGCAATGATTGGGAAGAAAAGCCTTTTAGCTTTATTCTAAAACATAAAATGCTAAATTTGATCTGCCGAACGTCGTTAATGGATTTCTGAAGGAGCACAAAATACAGCTCTGTCATAGAAACTTTTCAGTCGTTATATTTCAGGGATTACAAAGACTCATGTTTTGTTTAGTTGTGAAGGTTCATTCAGTGCTGATTAGCTTTTTGAGAATACTTTTTGCAGAACTTTTTGCCTCTTAATGATCTTGTTTAAGGGATTTACACTCAAAAGATGAACTAAAGTTTGTGTTTAAATACATGAATTAATTTAGCCATTGGGTTTTAGCAGCCTTTTAAAGTTCACAGTCTAAAGTTTATTCATGTATAGGAAACTGATTTATAGAGTAAATTTTGTTCCATTATTGTTGTAAGCAAATAACATTTTTGTAAAATGAAAATTTGAAGAATGTTTTGGTAAAAAACTGTTTTGAGAGCAACATTGCTGTTTTCTAAGATTTATGATTTCTAAGGTTTTTTTATTGTGAAGAGAATGTAATCAATAAATATTTGTAAATATTGTATATATATAAATATTTGAAAATAATGCAATTTGTAAATCTCAATCTTAAAAATACAAATTTGAAAAAAAAAAAAACTTTTAAGTATATTATATTTTTAAATTCTTAATTAAAAGCACATTTTTATTTGAAAGAATGAAATAAAAAAGTAAATATACTTAAAAAACAAACAAAAAACAAGTCAAACCAAAAATTTTTTGGTTAAAATGTTTTTCAAAGTTTCATTTCTGGATTGAATTTCTTGAAATTTCATTTTACAATCACAATTTACAATTGTTTTTTTTTTTTAGTTCCTTTTACAAAATAGAAATAATGGCACAAAATACTGGAACTAACTTCACTTCATATTTTGATGTCTTCTCAGAGCACAAACAAAAATTCAATGGGATTTTATGTGTCACATAGCAAATGATTACACATCTCTAATGTGAAAAAAAAATGTTTTTCTTTCAACACAGTATATGAAAACTGATTTCTGCATTTCTCTCTAACCTGTTTTGAGTTCTAAACTAAATCCATCTTACGCATTGCCTTCAAAGTTCACCTAACTGGTCAATGGAAAAATGTAATTTTTTTACATTTTTTTATTATAAATCTTATTTTTCTGTTAAAATCTTGCAAGTTTTTTTTACAGTACATTAGTCAGCAAAGTGCAATCTAACCAGACCTGTCAGAAAAAAAAATGCTTGAAAATCTCAGAATCACTGCACACCAGTGCACTTCACAAATCTGACCTTTATAGAGAAAACTTGGCAAGAAAAAGTGTGTGTGTGTGTGTGTGTGTGTGTGTGTGGGTGTGTGTGTGTGTGTGTGTGTGTGTGTGTGTGTGTGTGTGTGTGTGTGTGTGTGGGTGGATGAGGGGGGTTCACCAACAAATACGGAAATGTAAGGTTCTGCACACTTACTTCTTGGCGATGATGGCTATAGGAATTAATGTCAGTTAGTACAGCTATAGGGGATGCTGTTTTTTTTTTTTTTTTGTCTTTTGCAATAGTACATGTATTAATTATACAGTATTTTATATGTTGTATAGTGATAACCTAATGTTACATTACTGTGCTCCTTAAATGCACCCAAAATTATTATATCTAGTTTTATAATCAGCTAATGCCTCATCAGTATTATTTATATTGCTAAGATGTTTCTGTGGTTTTGTGTGTTTATTTTAATTAATGTAACTAAAGCCTTGAATAAAAGGGGGTCCTTGTTGTCCTTCATGTTCCCATGTAACACTTTAAGAAAATTATTTGTAGAAATATCAAACATAGTATACATACTATACATACTATAGTAAATATCCTAAAATAATATCAGATGTATGTGCACCTATATTTTCATATTGTTCCTTTTATCTTATGTTTTATTTTCTCTGAAGTTTATTTTTATGCTAATTATCTGTACACTGTGTTTGAATTAGCAGTTTTTTTATTGGCTCCTCTTAATATTTTTTTTATATATATTTCCTGAGATTTCAATAAAACACACTAAAGAGTGATTTCATATCAATGAAATATGGTTAATTGCGCATGTTGCTGCGTTTTGGCTTAAGTTCTTCATCTAAGGTAGTTCTTAGTGTCACATAAAAAAATACAGTCACTGCTTTTTTACAGGCAGTCTTGTTAAAGAATCAGCTGTAAAAAAAAAAAATGCTGTGATTGGTATGTGGACACTGTGTTCAAAAACTGCAAACAGCAAAACATTGGATTTATGGCTAGAAGTAATAGAACAAAAGGACTATTAAAGGTTTAAATATCACGTTTTTATTTAGTGAGGAGTGAAACTCAGTGACGTTGGATGCAGGAGTTGCAGCCGAAGGGTCAAACCTCAGTTCCAGCTTTCACTGTCGTTTTCTCTTTGGGCAAAACACTTCGCCCACATTTCCCAGTGACGCCTCTGTGTTCGGCAGCCTCACTTCTGTCAGTGAGCCTCAGGGCATCTGTGGCTATAAAGTAGCTTTCCAACATCAGTGTGTGAGTAAATGGATGAATGACTGAATGTAGTGTGAAGCGCTTTGGTCAAGTCTTTTGACTTGAAAACGTGCCGTATAAGTACAGGCCATTTAAAGGTGGCAATAATATCACTTATTAAGAATATCTGCTAACATGTATATTTTAAAGGAAATGAGGATTGTCCCGACCAGATAGTGCTATAAGAAATTTTTTCAAACATTTGTTTCTTCCCATTAAAAAAAAAATATTGTAGAATATTGTTATTTTTAAACTTTAAGACTATGTAACCCATTGGTTAATAATAAATTGTTCAATGTGGTTCTTTGTTTAAAAGTCACCTGATCAAGCCTTTTCTAACATAGCCAACTACAAAAGAAGTAACCAAAGTATGTATGAATGGCCGAGCCTCAAACCTACAATATCCCTGTCATATTGGAAATTAAAAGTTGTATCGGGAAAGCAGAGGTCACGGATTAGTAGACAGGGGTCCGGATCCGGACCCACCTGCTGGCTAATCCCGACCCAACCGGGTTTAAATGATTTATACCTTACAGCATGTTGTCCAACGACAGTGTCCAACTTCACTTGCGCTGCTTCTCCAGTTAATACGGTAAAGTCCCCCAGAGAGCAAGGGACCAGGCTGCACGTGATACAAATTAGCCAATGAGTTGTGACAGTCTGGGTTGCTGCCGTTAGCTACTTTTAGACACATGGGAAAGAAGGAGAAGATGATGAGAAAAAATAAGCCGAGAAACTGCTGTAAGAAGTGTGTTGAACCGGTGAAAGAAGAATGAAATGATATGCTCAAAGATGACCCTGCACATTTTGAGTATGTTTGGCTCAACCTGCTGCTGTGAAGCAGGATTCCCCACCATGACCATGATCATAAATAAATATCGATCCAGGCTCAAGCATGAACATCTTGATATGTGATTGAGAACGGCTTTGTTGCCAATTACACCCAGGTTTAAAGCCTTGCAGGGCTGCCTAACGCCCACTGCTCATAAAAAAGAACAGAAAAAAACCCAAAACAAACGGTCAGTTCAGGTGTTTTATACAATATGGGCCGGATTTATCAAAGGTTTGCGTGTATTAAAACGTGAGCTATTTCACTGCGCACGCTAAAAAATGTACAAACTGATCTATCAACAGCGTGCTAAAAGGATTTGGTCTTTAAAACGTGCTAAATAGCGCCTCTTATCCATTTAGTACTTTTTCTGCAATGAATATTCAATATAGGGCGTTTACACGCAAAAGTGCGTCTTGTGGGAGGAGAACATGTAAATATATTAATTTAGCACTCGCAAAGTGATTTATCAAACCTGAAAGCAATTTTGCTAACGGTATCTGACTCTATATTTAACACGTTTCAAAAGAAGGTGCAAATGGTCTGTATGCGTAATTGCGCACACATGGCAGCGGTTATTGTCGCAAGAAGGAGACATCGAAATGAAGCAATGAGACGCAGAGAACGCATTTTTTCACTCCGTGTGAATATTTTTGGAATGAACGAGGAAACGATCATCAAAACATATCGTTTATCCGGCATTGCCATTTTGGAGCTGTTGGGGGAACTCCGAATGGATTTGGAGCCAGCCACAAGGAGGACCCACGCATGCAGATATCACAAAACTCCTCGCAACATTGCACTTTTTTGCATCTGGGATCTCCCAATCTCGTTTTTCAGAAGTGCTGTCCGACGTTCTAAATGCCATGTCGCCCTGACGCCCTATCGGAGAACCCCGACACCCTGCGCCTGTGGAGCAACATGCCAATGCAGTCATCTTATCCACAGTCACTTCTTGTGAGCCATTTGGTATGTGCATTGTTCTACAGGCCGATACAAAACACCTGTTTTTTTTTTTTTTTTTTGTGTTTTTTTCTTACTGCGGTGAAGTAGAAATTCAGCCACATACCACCTTAGGGAATAAAGGTTGCCAAAGTTTATATATATATATATATATATATATATATATATATTTCTTTTTTTGGAGGGGGTGGTGTCACTGTAAGATTAAAAATTCTTAATGCACTAGTTTGCACAAACTACTTTGCCGCAAACCACAAAACGCGCAAAACCATCATTTAAATAGGGCGTCTCCAACAGTTTTGCGCCTGCCACCAGTTACGCAATCGCTCTTGTTAAATCACCCGCAAACCATGGTTCAGCCCCTCGCACAAAATTCCACTTTGCGAGCGCAAATTACTGCAGGCAAAATTGGATCTTGATAAATCCGGCCCTATGTGAATTAGGAAATTGTTTATATACCAAACTGAACGACTTTTGTTCTCCACTTCAAGAAACTGTTTAGATTTAAAATGGAAAATTTTTCTTTTTTTTTTTATTTAAAAAGTCAATATATAACATAGATGCATAAACACCTGCATTTTATTTCAGTGTTAACTTCTGTTTAAAGAAACAGATTATAATAAAAAATGTCTGCGACCTTTACTGGTTTTTGATTTTCTTTATTCGGACCCTGCTGATTTTTAATTGGTCTATAGAATATTAAATTCACTTGATGATAGACTCTATCCTAAATGTAATTTTTTTTTGTGTTCAAAGAACAAGGAGAATTCTTGGCGCTGGACCTCGGTGGATCCAACTTCCGAATTCTGCTGGTTAAAGTGCAGGGCAATGGCGAGCAAAAGGTGGAGATGGAAAGCCAGACTTATGACATTCCTGAGCTTGTGATGAGAGGCAGCGGCTCTGAGGTAAGCCCCCGCATGTTGTCAGGAAGGATATTGCTGATCAACTCTTCCTTGTCCTTGGTCGGTTGTTTTTGGCTGTCATATCTGAGTGCTGCTCTGCCCCTCATTCTCAGGTTACTTGTTTACCAGTGGTGATAATTAGTTTTTGTTATGACATGTGCCTGTGGCCTTGTCTTATGGCCCAATATGCAGCAATCCCTCTCCAAACAAGATGACTAAGGAGAGGAAAGGAAAAAGTTAATAAAAAAGCAGCTTTTTCACACAGAAGTGACCTTTCTTAAGATATGTTATCAGATAGTGGTCATTTTCTTGTCTCTGTATCTTTTTTCAGGAAAATTATAGCCTGTCAAAGAGAAGGAAGGCTCGCAAATGAAGATACATATGTGACCTGTTGATATATTGTTGCCTTCTTGTTTTGCAGTAATTTGCAGAGCTGAACAGCCTGTCTTTCTTACTGACAGACCCAGAGAGTAAAAGCATGTCCTGCAGTGCATCATATACCAAGAATAGATTAGATGTTCATTAATACTTCCTCTAATACCTCTAACATTTGAATCTCTATCAGACATGAGATGTTTTTCAATGTAATGGCTTTGAAGAGACACCTATTAGTCAGTGCTTCCATTTGTACCTGTAATGATCCCTTATCTGTATTTTAAATATATCCATCCTGCTGCAGTTCCAGGTGACACCAGACGTTGTATTTTATCCTTCTTTTCTGGATATGAGCAATGATATTCAATGATAATTATCCTGACAGCTCTATTTTACTCAAAGTCAACTCTGCTCCACTTCAACACCAGGAATGTATAGAAACACTATATGGCCAAAATTATTTCTCTATTTTTTCATGTACTTGAAGTTTGGTAACATACTATTCTTCATATACGGGATTTAATTTGTTAATGGATCCTCATCCAGACATTGGTCACTTTATCCAGCCAAAATGTGGTGCTTGGAAACACAGTAGGTTCTTGACTTTATAGAGAGGGACTTAATGGAGTAGAGTTATGTGGAAAAGCAGCAGTAGATGCAGAAAAAGCTTTAGAGATTATGCATAGGTTTGCTTTGCAGCGTCCAACACCTCATCATGGCCTCAGCCTTTGTGTATTTTTAAGATGTGCATCAGAAGCATTTTATAAGCAAAGTCTGGGCAAACGTTTAGAAAATTTGCTGGTATTCTGTGTACAAAGTTATATGCAATGGAGAGAATAGCTTGCTTTATCTGCTGTGCTGGGTGGGAAAAAGTAATATTATGATGTTTTAAATTAGAAAATACACCTCAGAGCATTATCCAAGTAGTCAGTTCTTCAGGATTAGGATCCTAGTTTTAAATATTTTCTAGCTCTTCCAGCGGTAAACCCCTGTGTACCTGCGAGAATCGAGCAATACCTCAGTTTGACGTTAATACGAACATTTTTGCCACAAACAAGTAATGAAATATTAGAGGAGTGTTTACAGCAACTGATTTTTCCTATACATAAAAAATTATATTTTCCTGTGTTTTTATGTTAAAAGTTAGTGTAACACCTTTAAATATATTGGTTTTATTTTTGATGGTTTTATGCTAAAAGTTCTGCAGGAGCAGATATCACAGCTTGGATCCAGTTACTGTCTCCCTGCCAGCTAAAACACTAGTTTCTCTGATTCATAGATGTGCCACATTGAGCAGCAATAGTCTAATGTTTTTTCAAGTATTTGATGCTTTTGACACGCTTGATGCAAAAGCTCGAAACAGGCAGAGTCCGATGCTGGTCCAGAGAGTCGAAAAGCGCTGCTGGACCTCATGACGCCTCTTGATGCGTGTCCACCACAGACTCTGAATTTAAATCCGGCTGCCTCTGATGGTCAGAATGTGCTCAGTGTGAACGCAGCATACAGCTAGAGCCACAGAGTAACAATTTCAGGTCAAACTGAAATCTTTTATTTGAGTGGCCTAGTCAAACCCTGCACCAAAACCAGTTGTTTATCTGTGGTGAGAATCAAGCTTTGACTGAGATTAAGCAGTTTTTTCTAAAAGGATTGGATAAAATGTCAAGTTATAGTTTTTCAATATAGGTAGAGAAATTTTACTAGGATGAAATGCCAGACGATCTAACAGTGATAACCTGAGGGTCAATATCTTCTTTTTTGTTCACAGCAGCTCTTACAGCAGCCAGGTATTAAATGTGAACGATAGAAAAAGTTGTTTTGAGACATACTGTCCAAAAGAGTATCACTAAAACATAAATATGCTGCAGCTGCAATCGTTACTGTTATGGTTGCAGAAAACATCTTTTTAACATTGTGGTCCCGCCTCCTGCACTGGAATTGAGCCAAATTTTTTTAGACTTGAGGTATTGAGCCTCAGCAGTCGGTCTGGCATGCCAGGTATACAGCATTATGCGTCAGTCTAGGACACAAAATCCTAGTAGATATGTAGCATTTTGCCATCCCAGGATGTTCTTGAAAGGCAGCAGGAGGTTAATTGAAATATAACTCAGTTACCATAATTCCTAGTGTGTCTAGGGGTTTCAGCCCTTAGATGTGCTGCTAAATAATGATGTTACACTTTGATTAAACCTTAATTATCCAGAGGGATTCTCATCAGCTGCATCTTTTCAGGGACCCACTGACTTTTTCATGGCTAAGACTTATAAGCTCAATTTCTGTTTGGTTTTCATGACTTTTTAGTGTACATCAATGTTAGAGGTTGTCTCACCACCAAAGTTGTTCTTAGGAGCAGTTTCCCCTCAAACATGTATTGTTGCCGTTCAAAGGAGAGCCAAAAACTCTGGAGTCACAGCTTCTCATTTCTAACGGTGTGTTATTACAGCAAACCAAACTGTATGTCAAATAGCTCATACAGAACTTTTATTATAATTCTAAAATTTTAATTTGGCCAATTTTTTGTTTCAAGATACAACATTTTAAAACATTTGTACTCCTATGGAAATCAGTTTCTGCGTTGTATGCACTGGACCTTCATAAGGGTAGATTTCTGTTTAATGGCTTTAAAACATCAGCAAGTTAACAATAAAGTCTACAGTAGTTAGATGCATAATATGTGTCGTCACACATTTTTAACAAATCCTGGAGTGTTATCAGTACATTGCTCTATCTTCACTCCTCTTTTATTCCTACGTGTCATTGATTAATTTAATCATTTTCACATTTCTGTCCTTGTGTTTTATGGTGTTTACACTCGTGTGAATCTAAAACAAATGTTAAAGATGTTCCTCTATGTCACTGTGATAAATGATGCATAAATAAAGCGTCCACCTATGTGAACATAACCATTGGGGTTATAAAAGTCTAATACCAGGGCTTTAGCAGTGACATGGTAGTTAGTTCACATATATGTCTGCTGATGTTTAATGAGAACAACCTTTTCTCTATTGTAGTTATTTGACCACATCGCCGACTGCCTGGCTGATTTTCTGGAGAAGATGGGGATAAAGGATAAGAAGCTTCCTCTAGGTTTCACCTTTTCTTTCCCCTGCCTGCAGACCAAGTTGGATGAGGTGAGTCATTTTGTTCTTTTCATCGGTTTAAGCATAATTTCCTCTAAAGTTTCTCAAAGTTTTTAGTCTTTTTTTTGTACATTAGAGGCCTGATTGACATATATATATATATATATATATATATTTTTATATATATATAGTAGATAATACTATGTCTAATAGTAGACATAGTATTCAAGGAGACTTTTCTAGGTCATTTAAGCATAATATAATCTAGTCTGACCATAAACAATGGTTTCCATTGTAACCTTTATAAGTACAGGTGCTGGTCATAAAATTAGAATATCATGAAAAAGTAGATTGATTTCAGTAATTCCATTTAAAAAGTGAAACTTGTATATTATATTCATACATTACATACAAACTCATATATTTCAGATGTTTATTTTGTTTAATTTTGATGATTACAAATGACAACAAATGAAAATCTCAAATTCATCATATCAGAAAATTAGAATATTGTGAAAAGGTTCAAAATTGATGGCCCCTGGTGCCACACTCTAATCAGCTAATTAACTCAAACCACCTGCAAAAGCCTTTAAATGGTCTTTCAGTCTAGTTCTATAGGCTACACAATCATGGGGAAGTCTGCTGACTTGACAGTTGTCCAAAAGACGACCATCGACACCTTGCACAAGGAGGGCAAGACACAAAAGGTCATCGCTAAAGAGGCTGGCTGTTCACAGAGCTCAGTGTCCAAGCACATTAATAGAGAGGCGAAGGGAAGGAAAAGATGTGGTCGAAAAAAGTGTACAAGCAAGAGAGATAACCGCACCCTGGAGAGGATTGTGAAACAAAACCCATTCAAAAATGTGGGGGAGATTCACAAAGAGTGGACTGCAGCTGGAGTGAGTGCTTCAAGAACCACCACACACAGACGTATGAAAGACATGGGTTTCTGCTGTCGCATTCCTTGTGTCAAGCCACTCTTGAACCACAGACAGCGTCAGAAGCGTCTTGCCTGGGCTAAAGAGAAACAGGACTGGACTGCTGGTGAGTGGTCCAAAGTCATGTTCTCTGATGAAAGTAAATTTTGCATTTCCTTTGGAAATCAAGGTCCCAGAGTCTGGAGGAAAAGAAGAGAGGCACTTCATCCACGTTGCTTGAAGTCCAGTGTAAAGTTTCCACAGTCAGTGATGGTTTGGGGTGCCATGTCATCTGCTGGTGTTGGTCCATTGTGTTTTCTGAGGTCCAGGGTCAACGCAGCCACATACCAGGAAGTTTTAGAGCACTTCATGCTTCCTGCAGCTGACCAACTTTTTGGAGATGCAGATTTCATTTTCCAACAGGACTTGGCACCTGCACACAGTGCCAAAGCTACCAGTACCTGGTTGAAGGACCATGGTATCCCTGTTCTTAATTGGCCAGCAAACTCTCCTGACCTTAACCCCATAGAAAATCTATGGGGTATTGTGAAGAAGAAGATGCAATACACCAGACCCAACAATTCAGAAGAGCTAAAAGCCACTATTAGAGCAACCTGGGCTATCATAACACCTGAGCAGTGCCACAGACTGATCGACTCCATGCCACGCCGCATTGCTGCAGTAATACAGGCCAAAGGAGGCCCAACTAAATACTGAGTGCTGTACATGCTCATACTTTTCATGTTCATACTTTTCAGTTGGCCAACATTTCTATAAATCCTTTGTTTTTATTGGTCTTCAGTAATATTCTAATTTTCTGATATGATGAATTTGAGATTTTCATTTGTTGTCATTTGTAATCATCAAAATTAAACAAAATAAACATCTGAAATATATGAGTTTGTATGTAATGTATGAATATAATATACAAGTTTCACTTTTTAAATGGAATTACTGAAATCAATCTACTTTTTCATGATATTCTAATTTTATGACCAGCACCTGTATTTACCTAACTTTCATTTGTTTAACAGAAAACCTATTCTAGATATGAAGTGGTTTGTCACTTATACAAAAAGGTTTCATGGTAATTGTTCTGTATTTGTGTAACATTTTAGTTATAAGTGTTGTTTGTTTTTTCTTTTCCTATCGAGATAAAATCTTCCATCCAAAAAACAAGGGCCCACGATCAAATGTCATCATATCAGGTATAAGGAAGATGATTCGTGTTCTTTCCCTGGTCATTTTCTGGGGTTTTTCACCTTTCTTTTTTTTTTTTCCCTCATACTAAGGTGTTTCCTTATTACACATAGCTGCAGCAAAAATATGTGAGTAACCTACAGGGCTTTCAGGAATGCTGAGTAACCAGATAAAAGTTTATTTTTGTTGTCAGATATAAGTTGTTAGCAAACTGGTATTGCAAGATTTTGTTGTAGAAAATTTGTAGCATTCAAATTTTAGCCAAGTTATTATTCAGTTCATGCATTTAAGTTAAGCTATTTTCAAGTCCCAACTAGGGCTGGGCGATAAAGCGGATTTTTATCGTTATTTTTAATTTGATTTATTGAAGAATCGCTGCATCAGCTGCTTCTTTTCCTTGAAGAGATGTTAGACGGACACACCTAAAATGGAGAAAATAGGCAGTGCACTCTCAGCTCCGCTTTGTTTCTATAGCACCTTAAAATACAAATCAGTTAGCCAAAGTTGTTTATATCATCCTAAAAGCTAAAAAATAAACCAAAAAACAAACCTGAATACAGCGAACCTAATTAAAAAGCAATATTAAGACGAGACTAGTATAATGAAGAGCATTTACCTTCTGCAAATAAAAGTCTGGACCATGTTTTCTGAGGATTGACACAGTTGGGAGAAATATAAAGGTTAAAGAGAATAAGGCCAAGAAGAGGGCCTTGAGGTTAATCACATTAGAGAGGTGCTGCATGGGACTCCACCGGCTGACTTATTATGGGGGTTTAAAAACAAGAGGCTCTTGGCATCGGGCATTTCTACATCTCTGTTCTCTACGCTCCGCCTCATGGCTGAGACTGGGCCTGGGGTCCTGGGGATTGATCGTGGCTGGTGTGGTGCAGGAGGGGTCATTGGTGGCATGCTCAGAGGCCTCTTGTCTTGTTCTGTGGGGTTTTCTGTTTGCCTGCCCTTAGGTGCTTTGGCTCCCTTGGCCTGTGCCCGCAGTCTGGTGCATGGGACACTGGGTGTGTCTCCTGCCTGAGCTCAGGTGACTAACATACCGCACTGGGCTTTGGGCAGCGGGTCGCCCGGGTTGCAGGTGCCTAAAGACCGTGGGTACCAAAGGTTCCATTTCTGAATGTGAGGGATACTGGGTCCTGCAGCGGGGTGGCTACCCACGCTGGTGCTGTGGGGAGTGACTGCAAAGACGCTGAAGTCCAGCTTTATTTGCCACAGGGGTGAAGACATGAACAAAATCACAAACATAAAGAGCCTCATCAGTTACCTCCACCGCCATCTTGCAGGTGTAGAAAATGACACTTATAGCACGTCAGAAATAAAAAAATTATCAACTTCCTAATATTTGTGAATATTTAATTGCAGAAAAAAGTTACTATATACGTTTTTAAATTGTGATGCATAATTGTAATTATCTAGTAATAAAAACCAGGATTACTGTTTCTCCTTTTGATCAACTAATAATAGAAAAAGTAACTTTTAAGCCATAGTCTATCAGATTTACTTAGAGCCAGCGGCGCACTAAGCGAATAAGATCACTTTGGTGCCTCGCTGTTAAGCAACATAATAGCTACTACAGAAGTATCACAACATCCTGTACGAGTTGTGCAGGTGATGAGGAACAGAACAAGCTTACAAGCTGAGGGATTTTGTCTCGTTTGATATTAATTTATTTCAGCTGATTCATCAAGGAGATGGTGACACATCGTTTAGACATAAATATTATCTTTAGTGATTTAATCAACATGATCAACTGGTATTACTTTCTGACTAGAGGAAAAAATCAACCCCCGTCACTCTTGACCATTCAGCTAAAATAAATGATAAAACGCGTTAAAAATCTCGTAGAAAGCATGTCTGAAAGGAGAGTAGTTGCCTTCTGGTGCTTCTGTGAAGAAAAATAGCAAATGATAACTGTTGCCATGGAGCTTGTCCAGTTTTGGCTAACAAACAAACTAGCGTCTCTCCCAGGTCAACCAGGTAGTCGGTTGACTACACTACCCTTTTACTAACGAAAGCCCCCCCCAATTCATTCATTCACAACACCTGTCCCATCAATGAGGAATCAGAATCAGAAATACTTTAATAATCCAAGGGCGAAATTACTTTTGTTCCATGACTCCATATGTAATAGAGTGTCTATAGGACCAGTTTGATAAAACGCAGTTCTGCGGCCCGCCACAATCTCATATAGACAGCAACAAAAAGATCTGTCTGTTTATCACACCCTTCCACAGCTGTACTTTCATAATGCCCATAACCCAGCGCCATAGAGACACAAAAAGTTTTTACAAAGCGCGCATCCCGACCTCCTTTGTAAAAATGCCGCCCCGGCTGCCCAGTTCACCTGTGCAGTGTTGCCAGCTCAGCCACTTTGTCGCTATATTTAGTGGCTTTTCAGACCCCTCCAGCGACTCTTTTTCAAAAAAGCGACTAGAGACAAATCTAGCGACTTTTTTGGTGTCACTGGCAGCTTTAAGAGACTCTTAGGTGAAAGCACGTATCGTTCCTACTCTTGTCCTCCAGCCGCAGGTGCTGCCGTGGGGCACCTCCCCCATCCCAACCCCGCTGGAGTCCCTCTCACTGTGCAGTCAGAGCAACAGCAGGTTTACCCTCAGCGAGCGAGCGGAATGTAAATGTAAAATGTTATTTGGTCTAAAATAAATAACTGAATTTGAAATGTTTTATCTGAAATAACGGCAACAGTCACTTAATCAACTTGTCCATTGTGTTTTCCTCTCTAAGAGAATGATTTGTAGGCTCCTTAGTAGACCACAAGGGAAAAAAGAAAAAGTGAAAAAAAAAGTGGCCTCAGAGCTGTTCTAAAGATATTCTGTTAGGTTATATCCAAGTAACATCTTCCTTTGGGCAACGACTTGAAGGCACAAACTAAACTGTTCATAATTTATCATTTATGGTACCCCATCATTTATAACATCTAGGCGGATCACTGTCCCCCAGACATCCGCGGTTATATATTTTATATTTATATCTTTTAAAAATGAAGCAGCGCGTGTATGATGTCATCCGCGCATGCCGGCTACAATTCATTCATCCCACGTCATCTGCAAATAACAGAGACGCAATCCTGAGTCCACCAAGACAGATCCCCTCAACACCTTGGCTGTGCCTAGAAATTTTGTCCATAAAAGTTCAGAACAGAATCGGTGACAAAGGGCAACCTTGGCGGAGTCCAACCCTCACCGGAAACAGGTCCGACTTACTGCCAGCAGCGCGGACCAGGCTCTGACACCGGTCATACAGAGACCTAACAGCCCCTATTAAAGGGCCCGGTACTCCATACTCCCGGAGTACCCCCACAGGACCCCCCGAGGGACACGGTCGAATGCCTTCTCCAGATCCACAAAACACATGTAGACTGGTTGGTCAAACTCCCATGCACCCTCCAGAATCCTGCTGAGGGTATAGAGCTTTGAATCCTGAGGTTGTGAGTTTGATCCCCCACTCCCACAGACTGCCACTCTGGCTCCCTGAGCAAGACCCTTAACCCCACACTGCTCCCCGGGCGCCGCACCATGGCTGCCCACTGCTCCCCAAGGGTTGGGTTAAATGCAGAGAATTCATTTCGTTGCTCTGTACTTGTGACAGTGTAATGACAATAAAATTGAATTATTCACTCGTGTAAAGTCGGGCACCACGCAGGAGAATTAGGAAATGCAACGGTTGGAACAGCCGTTTCCCTACGACTTTAAACTATTGCATTAGGAATTCTTCCCAAAGTCTGCATTAGCACACACATATCAGGAGCCAATCTGTCAAACATGTGGGATAAAGCAGCAGAGAGAAAACATTTTGACCACTGAGTGCATTTTAGCAACTTTTACATTTGCAACATTTTACATTTGCTTTTTTCTCCTGGCTTATCAGCAGCACAGTGTTTATTCATGCAGGTAGAGATGTTGCATGTGCTCCTGCAGTTTGAAGTGAAGCTTAGCTTCTCCATACCTCAGTTTACTTTGGCCTTACTTCAAGTACTTCCAGTCTTTTGAACACATCACTTTTCGAAAGTTTGAAAAGCACTCATTAGGAATTGATGAAATTATCCCTTAGAGAAGGTAGAGAAGGTCAGTCAATGACTAGTAGCTAGACTATGCTTACTTAAAGACACACACACACACACCCACACAATGACGCATTGCTACAGGGAGGTCATGCTACACACAGTGATTTGGAGAAAATGGTTGTAATTTTTGCTGAATGATGTTGATGGCTTATTACTGTTCATATCATCAAGTACATTGACAAATGGCAGCAGCCCCACATAGTAGTTTTCTATAAAGAAGGTGAGTCCTAAAGAGCAAAGAGATGATAAAGGACAAACTCATTCTTCTTCTTATCCTTGACTCCTTTAGCCTGTCACTTTCTGATGCTCTCCTAACCAATTTAGAGGAGCCTGGCTTGGAGCAGCACAGAGCTACAGCTGAATGCCTGTAATGAGAGGGAGGACCAGCTCCCTAATTGAATGTGTAGGACTTCATCATGACATCCTCAGGAACAAAAACCTAAAAGCTTGACCTTAGTCTTCATTATAACAAGTCCACATCACTACTGAGTGCTCCAACCAGACCCGTCGCAAGATCTCCCCACAGAGACTCTAGCGTGGTTCGTTGTCACCTTTTAAATGATTTAATCTTCTGTTGCTTTATTTTGCATCAGTCAGTGGAGGTCCTTATCACACTTCTCCCTCACACATGAGCTTTCTGATTCTCTGAGCTTCAACTCTGAGTTCACAGGCATACATGACAAGCTCTGTGAAGGATAAATCCCCTTTAATCTAAAGAGTTGAACGTTCAAAAGTAACTTGCCAGATACATTAATCATAATCAAAGCAATCTTTGATATGCTCATGAATATTTCTCCATTAACTTTTATTTTTGGGATGATTTTTGTCTGACTTACATAAGCAGAGGTTCCCTAGTCATTATCTTCCTGGTCTTCACTGCCTGCATGTTTGCATCTGTGCTGTTTTGTTTTAGTTTGGTCCTCAGCTAACAGATTTCAGTTCGATTTTACTACATATTCCTACAGGTCTGATATTTTGTAGACACCAAAATGTTATGAGTAAATCACCATGTGTCTCTGTCCTACTTCAAATTATATTTTGATAGCTTTTTTTAACATTGCAGTGTTTTATTTGGGGTTTGCACAACAGATTCTCCCACCTGAGCAGTGCATCACTGCAGCTCCTTCAGGAGTTTTATTCATCAACCACCCTCCTTGGTGTTTGTTGAATAAAACTGTCTCTACCTGGCCTGCCAGTTCATGATTTGGAAAGTTTGCAGCTATTCTATACTCTTTCTGGTTTTGAACGTTGTTCACACACTGTTAACTTTACTCCGTTATAAGTTTTCCACAATTTTCTACCTAAACTGTCTTGGTTAGTCTTAAATGTGATCTTGTACTGTCAAAGTCAAGGGGTCCAAATATAGCTTTTTGCCAACTTTAGTGAAAAAATTAAGAAAAGTTCAAGAGGTATGACTGCTTTTCAAGGCAGTGCTTCTTGACTCCTGGCTTGCAGGAAAATTATTTCTTTCAGGCACTCAGATCCATTAATCGTGACAGGCTTAAACCCAAGGTTTAGTGTGTTTAAATGCATAGTTAGTGATTGTGGAAGCTTATAAAAGAATGACGATTTGAACTTCTTAGGCTGCTCAGTGGAACAGTGGGTAGCACTGCAGCCTTGCAGCAATAAGGTTCTGGATTCAATTCCCGGTCTGGGTCTTTCTGCACCCATGCATGCATCTCCCTGAGCATGTGTGGGTTCTCTCTGGGTACTCAGACTTCCTCCCAAAGACAAAAAGCATGACCATTAGGTTAATTGGCTGCTCTTATTCTCCTTAGGTGTGAGTGAGTGTGTGCATGAACGGTTGTTTGTCTCTGTGCTGTGCTGCCCTGCCCTGCGATGGAGTGGCGACCTGTCCAGGGTGTACTCCACCTCTCGCCCGTAGACAGCTGGCACCAGCCCCTGACGAGACCCCAGCAGGGATGAAGTGTGATGGAAAATGGATGGCTGGAGGATGCAAGACAATCTCTATTTTGAAGGGGAAAAAATGTCTTTATTCGATATATTGCACCAAAAATGAATGATAGGCACAACATTTTAGTTCATTTTTTTTATCAGCTTGAATTTTAAAAGCATGTTAGATCTGAATTTTGGCATGGCGTAGGCCAGCTTAAAAACCACATTTTAAAAATGCAAAGACAGATTTTAATAGTTCATCACCCTGCCCGTCATGGCGATGTAGATTGATGTGTTCTAGTTTTCATTATTTTCTCAGTTTTAATTAGTTATTTCTGGGGAGGTAACAATACATTGACGCACATCTAGAAATTCATTAGATGAATAACCTCTCGAGCCCCATTCCCAGTACCAGGGGCAGAGTTCCACTTTTTCCTGTCTTGGCCTGTTCCCTTAGTTATACACAGACATGCGGTATCCACAGAAACATCAGAACCTTGACTAAAAGCTCATAGAAGCCATTTTTATAGCAAACAAACAGTAAAATATATAAGAAGTGGAATCAAAGTCAATTTATAGTTGTGTGCAAAGGCTGCATTCAGTTGCACTTTCTTTCTTCATTAAAATTGGGAGAAAATTAAATGCATGTACTGTATATAATACATTTCTAACAATTCATTTAATATATGTGAAAAAATAAAATGGAAAAAAGTTTATTATCTTTGAAAGTTATCTGCAATAATTTACTTTTTCAGATGTAGAGGCTTTTGTGCTTAAGTGTTCTCAGTCAAAGGGCGGACACCAATACGTTCTGACTGAAAGCTCTGTGCTTTCAGCTCCATCATCTTTACATGGATAGTATCCAGAAGTGGACTTATTTTGTAGCCTTAGTTCTTAAATTTGTAAAAAGTTTACTTCAAAAATCATGCAAGGTATAGATAACCGTATTTTTCTATTTTACATCTTTTTCCCTGAAACCATAGAAGCTCATTTTATGCTTTTATACTCCAGAGTTTTAAATTCTTTTGATACTAAACTTATTAAAATGTACTTTGCTATTGCTAAAAAAAAACCCAACAACAAATAACCCCAAACCTAAATTTTGGGCATTTTATTTTGTACAATATTTGGAAGAACCCCTTTGGGCTCATAGTGTTAATGAGTACTTGGATAGAAAATTAGATGTTGTCACTTTTTAGATATCCTTTTATTTTGATAATGATAAGTTATTAGACTAGACTAAAGTTTTTTTTTATTATCACTATTTTAAATACTAATATTTTAAATATACTGTTTATTTTCAGAAATGAAAATCAATCTATTATCCTATTTGAGGTGTCAGAGTTGGTATCAGCGTTAAAAAATATAGTACGTTGTAGGGATGCACGATATAATCGGCCCCCTATCGGTATCGGCCTGTATCTGCCTTGACACTGAATATCGGACATCGGCCACCCCACCGACATTTAACCCGATATTTGATCAGCTTCTGAGTTTCTAAAGTCTAAAAAAAAAAATACTTCTTCTTCCTCAAAAAACTTCTTTTTTACTGACTTAAAAACTTCTAAAGACGAGGGAAAAAATATTGATACATTAAAATATCACAATATCTTCATATGCTGATATATTGCCATTTAAAAACACCATATAAATTTCTTTTACTAATGAAATATTGCTATATGTCATCGTTATGCTACGAAATCCCCCGAAAATTCTCAAAATTTTGCCATATTTTTATATGTTGATATATTGACGCGGTATAGATCTATTTTACTAACAAAATCTCAAAAGAATTTGCAAAATATCATGAGAGTTTGTAACAGAATGATACAATTTCACGAGATTTTAAAAGTAAAATAGATTGATACCGCATTTTTAAAAATCTATTTGATATCAGCATATGAAAATATATTTGAGTTTATTATTTTTCAAAGTGTCAGAAATGGATAACAAAACTGCTATTTTCAATGACTACTTATTTTTGTCCAGCTTTAACATCGGTATCGGTTATCGGCTACATGAGTTTTAAAATATCGGCATATCGGATATCGGCCAAAATCCCAATATCATGCATCCCTAGTACATTGTATCAGTCCCAGACTTGTAAATTGAATTAAATTGGAATGGTGACAGACTTTGTGATATCAGCATATTAATATCCAAAAACAAGAGTATGTTTTTATATCGTGATAAAAGTTGTGATTTACACCCCTAGTTATTTCAGGCTGTTTTTGCCGAAGAAACGTTTAAATCTCTGTGAACTCTGAGCTGCTCTTTGTCAGATATTCAAAATGTAACATTACATATGTTGCTGTTAATGTGAAAGCATTAAAATAAACCCTAAGCCTTTAGATCCACTGTTCAATCAGTGAATTGATTAGGTTGTTAAATCAGGGCTGGAATAACCCTTAACTCTTCTTTGCTTTTATCTTTCTCCTCAGAGCGTCTTGATGTCTTGGACCAAAGGCTTCAGGTTGAGTGGAGTGGAAGGAAAGGATGTGGTCAGCCATTTGAGGAGGGCTATCAAAAAGCGAGGGGTAAAGACTGAAAATATGACTTCGATGTACTAAAAGCTGTTATTTATGATCAATATTGAATACTAAGTTCTCTACTAGTTGTGTTTCATCTTAGTGGTTAAATCATGTTTACATTGAATATAAAAATGACTCCCACAGGTTAAAGACAAAGAGAAATCATATTTCTGCATATTTATTCTTACTGTTGACCTTTACTGGTCAGGGGGAAAAATACATCTGAAATAAACTTTTTCAGTTAGCTTCAGTTTTTTGTTGAACTGATGCCATTTATTTTTAAATCTATCAAGCAGGAAATGGGATGGAGAGGGGCAAGACCTGCAGCACAGGTTTCAATATGTCAGGACTCAAACCCATTACGTCACATTTAAGTCAAAACGCCTGAGAGCAAAAAAAAAAAAAAAATCCCACATGCGCAGGAACTGCAGCTTCGGGAGGGGAAAAAAGCTCCGCAGGTGCACCCGCTCCTCCTATGTACAGTCGGGATCTCACCGTTCGTGCCTTCGTTTCTGTCTGGCGCCCTCGCTTGCGGACGGCTGCTCTGTCAAATTTGCCTCTTGCCTCAGGATGATTTTCTCCTTTAGTGGAGAAAAATGTCTTTCGACAGGTGGTGCTGAAAAAAAACTGTTAGCCTCCACCTGATTGGCTGCAGACACGATCACTCTGGAAGTAGTGTCAGGAAGACTTTGATTGACAGCTTCATCTTATCGGTGAAGAAAATGGCTGGAGGTGAGGCAGTGGTTTCTCTACATGGGTTAAGTGGAATTCACAGCAGTCCTTCCCGAAGAATGACTAATATTCCTCTGAAAGTAGGGCTGCACTTCCTGTGTGATCGTGTCTTCACGGCCAATCCGTAGGAGGCTGAAGGCGAGCAGTGGTGGAAATTAACAACTTACATTTACTTGATTAATGTACCTGGGATTAACTGGTGACCTGTCCAGGGTGTACCCCGCCTGTCGCCCGTAGACAGCTGGAGATAGGCACCAGCACGCCTTGCGACCCCACTCGGGATTAAGCGTGTCAGAAAATAGATGGATGATTAATGTACATAAGCATTCTCTCCACTATATTTCTACTCCAGTACATTTGGAGGGAGCTGCTAGTTACTTGTTTCTTTTGGCTCAGCTCACCTTTCTAATCGACTCTTGCTGTTTTTGTCTCTTGAAATGCAATTTCAACAGGGCAGATAGCAGCCCTTTAGCAGCTATCTATCTATAGCAGCCTTTAGGACCGAATTTGGGCATCATTGTTTTAGAGATTTGCCTGACATTCCACAGCTGTGAGAAACTTGGGACAGATATTGGCCGTTTCTCAATTCACAAGAACGCGAGTACGGCCTCATTTATTCACCAAGCATGTTCTTGAGAAGAACACAGGAAAGTCTGGACTTGGTGAGAACGGGAGCACACAGCATAAATATGGGTCCATTGGAACAGAAGCGTACTGATGATGCCCGGCTCGTCTAGAGCTGCATTTCACCTGTTATTAATAGTCTCTAGATAATAATTAATTCTGACTTTTTTCATTTAGTCGGGAAATAATAATGAACACAGTCAGATAAACACAAATCAAATTAACATTTTGCCAAATAAAACAAAAAAAATTGCCATCAGAACCAGCGGCCCTTCACAGAAAGCAATGCCAAGAGAGGGCTGCTGCAGATGAGCTGCGGTTATCCCCGGCTGCCGTTACCCTCGGAGCTCCGCTGGTTGCCGCAGTCCTCTCAACTTCAGAATTTTTTTTTTAATTACACATTAAATCTGTAAATGGGCTGTATAGTGACGCTTTAAGGTACAATATTCTCGCCGCATATTATCTTAAAACGTATTTTATTGAACAACAGCGACAGAAAAGAGAACTTTTAACTTAATAATCTGAGCTCTGTGTGCGCTCCATTGAAAGCTGCTGCTGCTGCAGTGCATGCTGGGACAGCTGTAAATCTCAAGAACAGACAACTCTGCTCTGATGCATGCTGGGAAAAATTGGGAGGGGCGAGAACAACATCCGGGGACTTTGTCCGTTCTCTGGTCGTCTTGTGAATTGGAACAGCACATGAGAACGCACAAGTACATATATTTAGACACAGCCATTCTTTTTATAAATGCTTTTAAGGCGTTAGTTGTTGGCATGTGGCCAAGTTGTTCAGTAGGTTGGATTCTCAAATCAGATTCAACCTTAATCGCTATTCCACAGTGAAAGTATCAGGGGAATCGGGGCTTTTCTGTTTTGATTTTGATTTGTTTTTAAATGAGATACAATCAAAATAGCTGTCCTTATTTTTTGTGGCATTTTTATGCTGCAGTATTTTACAGGTGATGTAGAATCTGTCAGAGAGAGCATTTCCACGCATCAATAAATCAGCTGTTTCTGTTACAAGGTTCTTTAAAATTACCCTGAAAATTATAACGGAATGTGCTGACATTAGAAAAATTGATTTCTATTTTTGAATACTTAAGTACTTTTAAATGCATGTACTTTTGAATACTTAGTATTCGAAATACTTTTAATACCTATTTTTAAAAGTGAGTTTAATGATTTAACTTGAGTAGATTGACTGAGTAACTTTTATTTGTAGTTGAGTAAGATTTGACTAGTATCAATACTCTTAAGTACTACTGTTGAGTACTTCACCACTGCAGAAGAGGATTTTATCAGCCCTACTTATCAAAGCACATTTCGCGAGTTGATTTCGAGACTTCCCCTGTGTTTTTGCTAAATTCAGCTTGGCTATGATGTTTTTCTTCTAAAGAAAAAACGCTTCAGTCTGTCCACCAGAAATCAAAGCCTGCACATAGATAGTCTGGAATATTGCCTCATATACAAGGCAGTCTGTCCAAGAGTTTTGGAGACCTCCCTGGGCAGGTTGTTTGTTGCATTCTTTGTTTTATCAGCTCTTGGAGACATAGAAGTTTAGTTAAACACTGTTTTTTCTGTTTAGTCTTCACTTAATTCAAACGGTGGAACTAGTCCTTTGGGAATTATTTTGCTTTCTCCTGCTGACTGATAGCTTTAGACATTGTGATCCGCCTGGAAGCAATCTTGACTTTTGCTGCAAGATTTCACAAATTACATGTCAGGAAAGGTTTACCGAAATATCTGAACTTGATTTGAAGTTACCTCAGACACATATCATGAGTTTGGTGGTTTATTCTGGATACAGCCACATGTCCATAGACAGGATGTCCAAATTTATGAAACCATACTGTTTTTTTGCTCCCCTTACACATTTCAATGTGTTTTATTTGAGTTGCATGTGTTATAGATATCCACAAACATAATTAACATTATTAACATCACATAAACAGATATTTTCCCTGGGGTATGATGCTGTATGTGCTCTAAGGGAGCAGCATTTACTCTTTCCTTTGAACTGAGAGCCTAAGTGCCTGAGTTACGTTCAACCAAAGGCATGTCGTCTCTAGATTAATGTAAATGTACGTCTTCAAAGTTGAAAATGTTTCAGAGATCAAAAAGTCTCTGCTTCTCGCTCTCAAAATGAGGATATAGGACCAGTTGTTTTCGCACCCAAAATAGTTTTGAAGCTAGACATAAAACACAGAGTGAAGCAGTCCAACAGACAGTTACTGTTCATGTTACAAACTCAAAATATGTTGGATGTTGGAGAGCAAAAACTTCAGAAGGGGTTGTGTAAAAAACAGTCTCTGCAGGGATTTACAGACTTTAGATTTGTGAGGAACAAATGCAAAGGGAATATTCTGTGCATGTCAAGCAGAGTAGCTAGCAGGAGCAAGTCCGCCTCTGTATGCTTCTTGCTCAGGTGGCTGATGACCAGTCAAACGCCTGCTGGGAACTTTCACACCCAGTCAGCGATCGCCCAGCTGCAGATGGTGCATAACAACAGGATGAGGTTACCATATTTACATCAAAGGAAGAAAAAAAAAATAGCTTAAAAAATTAAAGTTAAGTCAGTGCATTGGTCATGATATGTTTTTTTTTTCATAACACAAATGAAAAGGTTTTATTTTCTTCTTTTTATTTCAGATCCACAGATTGGACTGAATAATTTTCTTGGTCTAGTCTAAACAAACTTCCCTTGCAGGACTTTGACACTGACATCATGGCAGTAATCAGCGACACAGTGGGAACCATGATGACCTGCGGCTTTGATGATCGTCACTGTGAAATTGGCCTCATAGTGGGTAAGTGCAATCTGACAGTGATTATAGGGGAAATGAAGATGAAGACCATTACATGGTTTGAGTTATGAAAGCTTAAATTTGGAAAGAAGACCAAGTAGGCAATTTTTTTCAGGGAAAGAAAATCATTTGGAGCCATTTAGGTAACTCTATTTTGGTTCAAGTGTTCTGTTTATATTGACTTCAAAATGTCCACTTTTAGCAAAATTAAAGATAATCTACCAGGGTTATTTAGAGAAATTCAAGGACGAGGTATCGAAATAAAGAGGGACGCCATGGACATTTCTGGTTTACTCCACAGGCACACTGGCTGCTTTTGTATCCTATTTTGTATTTTCTGTTGCATTTCTAAGCACAAGTGGCATTTAATTTCCAGATTAGTATAAACAGAAGGTCAACAGTTTGAACAAGTGCTTTAGAAGAAACGTTGAAACGTCATATTTACATCTTTCCTGAATTTAATGTTGCAGTCTAATGGCTGCGAACCTCCTTGCTCTGCACAGCCCTTTTCTTTGTGCTGAGGAGGACAGCGTGAGGTGCAGTACTTGCACTCTCTTCTTTGACAGCCTTAACTTTTATTCATATGGGCAGCGAGAGGTTTTTTGATTATCCTATTGAAAAATGCATGGACACCTCTGGAGAAGACACATCTTGAATAGAATATGTTGCTTTTCCAAACCCATTCAGTTTTTTGCAGTAGCGACGCCATCAGGCATATGTTTCAATGGTAAGAATATGGGGGGAAAAAAATAACGCTTTTCTGATTACTTATATTATTTTGTAGATTCTTAATTTTAGTGTTCACTTAACATATTTTTTCCTACGCTGTTCATACTCTAATGCTTGGGGTTCTTGCTGCCATGAGGCAAATAAGCAGCATAAAGGAAATCCCAGATGAATGCTGTGTCTCCTCTGCTCCCTAGCAGGGTGTTAATCTTGCTCTCATCAGGGCCCACCTATAACTCCCTAATGTAATGAAAGAGAAAACGACACTGGCCATCAAAGCGTTTTTTTTTTTTCTATACATTTTTGAAAACATGTTTGGAAATGACACAAACCAGATCACGTCGAACTGCATGTTGTACTTGGATGATATACGTTTCTCTCAGGAGCTCCCTACTAATTAAAGGAACACCTGCAGGCTAAACCCAGCTGCACATCACCGCTGATATTCTCTGTCGATGACTTTTAGCTCAGCTTAAATTGCCATGCTTAGGGAAATGAGTGAACTAGCTGCTACATAACTGGATATGCTAAAAACAACCTTTAGCACCTTTACAGCTTCTACTCATTCTAAAGTTGCTTCCTATTGGAAGGTTTTTATTTTTATTTTTTATTTTTTATCCTATAATGGCTCATTTACAAGCCCTAACATGTTTATCCTGCAGAGTCACAACCTCAATTTTGGAAGTTGAATCATATTTATGCCCCAGGGGAACAGGAAGTCATGAATAACAAAATAGGAATTCCCACATACTTTGAACTAAAGCCTTTTATTGGTTAACTGCATTGATCAATTTATGTGAATTGTTCTGGATCAGGTTAGGGTGCCACTACTTGTTTTTTTAGAAACAGTTATTACGTAACCTGGGACTGTTTCACCCTCTGAATGAATATACTAAAATGAAACTGTTGATTTTTCTGCACCTTTTTCAGAGATTCTAGTGTGATAAATGCTTAAAGGTCCCATATCATGCTTTGTTAAGCCTTTTTAAAGCCAGCTGTAAGCATTTATTTAACTTAACACTGCCTGTAACTCTGTTAATTTAAGAAATATATATATATATACATATTTTTTCCAAACTGGAAGAAAATTTGCCTGTAAAAGCTCTCCTGTTTGGGTTCCTCCCATTTAATGATGTTTCTGTAACAACTCAGACCTCTGAAGGCCAAAAAACAGATTTTCACTACTGAGAGAACAACTAGAAAAAGAAAAGTTGCTGCCCTGTGTAAATCCGCTTCTAAAAAAGACACTTAACGTTGAGACAGAATCTTCACCCCCTCCTTATCAGAGAAAGCTTTTATGATATTAGCCCTTTAACTAACTTTAGGTCTCAACACATTTAGTCTATCCCTAAACTCTCAGTTGTAACATTATAGTGACGATTGTGGGTAAATTCACTGTTTGTCCCACTTCCATCAGAAAACAATTCAGGAACTTTGCATCACAATTAAACTTACTCAAAGGCTTCCCAAAGCTGTGTTGGCATTCGTTCCTCTGCAGGTAGATACTAAACATTCCTGCTTAAAATCCAAGAAACCTTCAGCTATAGACTGCTTAAGCACAGATGCTCTTTTTGGACAATTATTATCTAGTTCCACATTTCCTGAACACATGTTCTTGTTTTTAAATTCTGAAGTCTGTCTAAGGATTCATGTTTGTTTTTTCTATAGGTGTTTTTAACCTTTTTTTTGTATGTATCACATGTGCATTATAACAACGTAATGACAATAAAGACTCCAGATTCCTGATTCTTTGTCAAATCCAAGTCTGAGACTAGAACTGTGCACAAACTAGAGTTTCTTCCATGAGGCCAGTTTATTTATGTTCTCTACGTGTTTGTCGGTCAGTAATCATGATGGTCACCCCTCTTTCCTCCAGGTACAGGCACCAATGCTTGTTACATGGAGCAGATGAGGAACCTGCAGCTGCTGGATGGAGATGAGGGTCAGATGTGTGTTAATACAGAGTGGGGAGCTTTTGGAGATGATGGCGCCCTGGAGGACCTGCGCACTGACATTGACCGGGAAATCGATGCAGGCTCGTTGAACCCTGGAAAGCAGCTGTGAGTGTCATCAGATTAATCTCTGTGTTCACTGCAGAGTTAGCATGTGTAATGATCTGAAATATGAATTTCTTGACTTCACTGTTTATGCACATTAATAATTTATTATTAGAGCCGTTTTGGTTTCTGATGTAAGCAGTGATTGCTCCTTTTAAAAGCAAGCCTGCTTTCTTTCTTTGAAGGTTTTAGGTTTACACAAACTATCTTGAATCCTTTTATTTAAGATTTAGACATCTGTCTTCATTACTCTTTGAGTTTGGATGGTTGATCAACAGCTTGTTTAGCCCAGTTAGAAGTTAGGTTCTAGTTAGAAGGTTGCATGTGTTGTAGAGCTGTGCTTCTGTGCCTAGAGCCATTTTTATCATTACCATCCCAACCATCCCAGCGGGGGGTTAACAACTACAATGATGCTACACACTTCATCTTGGTTACAGCTTTTGACTCTCACTAATCCTCAGTAATCCTTAAAATACAGGCACCCGTAACATACATATGGAAGGCAAACCAAGTGGAGTGGATGTAAAATTTTACTGACGGGATCATTTTTCAGTCTTCAGATGTTTTTACCTCAGAATCATTAAGTGAGTTTACTTTGATTTGGTGCTAATCTCATTTTCTGGTGCTTCTCACTCTTGGATCTTAACCCTTCAAGGTGTCCCTACCCTTCAGACATTTGTAGCACTTCCCAATTATTTTTGAAGAGTATAGGAAGGGGTAAAAAAAGTCTTTGGACCTGCTTCCCTGACGGATAAGATTTTTTTCTGAGTAAATTTCTTGATGGTTGAATAATTACTGTGGTGACAAATTTGAAGTGTTCTGATGTAAAATCACCTTTAATTACAGGTAAAAAAAAAATCCAAGATCATTTATCTTCCGATGTCAGCTGGTATTTCCAACATGGGTTGAAGTGTGATTTCAGTGCCAAGGAGTAGTTGTCAGGATATGCCAAGGAAATTTGGTTTAAATCTTAAAGCAATTATAAGATAAGAACTCTAAAAGAATTAATATTTTGGCACAGATAATGCCTAAATGTTCTTTTATTTTGAATAATGTCATTTCTAAACATAGCATTTAAATTTCTGTACCGTTTTCATAAAGTATATTTATTTTGATTTATTTTTCCTTTTATTGTTGCCTTTTAAAGTAACTATAACCGGATAAGAGTAAAAATAACCGGAAAATGTGATCATCGATTTGATAAAACTCATTTCTAAGTTGGGAGTGAAAGCTGCACCTGCACGCTCTTTTAGTTTATTCCTCATTGAAAACAATTGCAATCAGGGAAGCCTTGTTAAAATGGTTGTAAAACTCAGTCAGTTCAATTTAATATGCAAATATGAGCTTCCAATTTCTTCATGTTTTTGCAGCTTTTCAGACTTTTAAATACTGACTAGATGAAATGTCAGATACAGAAGAAAGGAAGAAAAGAAAACCTTTTCCTATTGGTAGGGAACAAATAAATCCTGTATAATCTTACCTTTTATGTTAAGTATGCTGTACAGTTAAACACTGGATCTAATATTATTCTTTACAAGCAACCAATGAGTTATCCTAGAATATTGCTGTATAGCAGGTGAAAATCTACCCTTAAACATCTCCCATTTTATCATGCCACAGTGACGAAACTCAAAATGTTACATTGGGATTTACTCACCATAGACCAAAACAAAGCAGTGCCTCAGTGTAAATTAGAAGAACAATGGATCCAATTTAATTATTATTATTATTATTTTTGCAGATAGAAATCTGAAAAGGGACTTTTATTTTCATTCAGTCTGACTCATTATCAAAGTTTCACATTGTGATAAAGTGAGTGAATACGTGACATTTGGTACAATGGCTAAACACTGCAGATAAAAGCCTTTAATAATTATTATAGTTGAACTTTATTGATCTCACATAGGAGAAATTTACCTCTGCATTTGACCTATCCTCTTGGGGAGCGGTGGGCTGCCATTGTGTGACACCCGGGGGGCAATCAGGGGTTAAGGGTTTTGCTAGGGAACCAAGAGTGCATTTCTGTGGGGATCAAAGCGGGTACTTGCAGCCCTCTCAGAACACAAGCACACTGCTCTAACCCACTAGGGCAAAACTACCCTTAAGGATTTTTAGGGTTTTGTTTTTATCTTTACCAGCTACGCTTCGTTAGAAACAGTCAATTTACCCAGCGTTGTCTGTGCAAACCAGCTGAGGTTTAAGTTAATTGGTTGTTTAGGCCTTGGAAACATCCATTTACTTGTCTTGTCACATACAATATATTAGACTTAGGTCTTGACATAGTCTGTCTGCTAGGGATGGAATGGTTTATGAAAACCGTCCGAACCGTTCGGTTCGGTTCGTTTCGCGTGTGTTGCGTTCGGTTCATGCGCTGCTCCTTTTTCTCATAGGTGAAGCGATTACACTCCCGAGCAGAAGGTGGCGGTACTGCGACCAAAGCCAACCACCAGTAGTAAGCAAGAAGAAGAAGCGAAGCAGCGTAGTCAACCATAGCGAACCGTGGATTTTGTGAACCGTTCCACCCCTACTGTCTGCAAGGAATGCAACATGGATCTGCTTTACCTTAAACCTTTTCATTACTGTCCTGGCTGTATGTTGAGGGGTTTTGTCCTGCTAAAATAGGAACCTTTGCTGAAGTCAAACATGGATTGTTTGTCTTTCACCAAGTGTTAATTCATATTCTTTTTAACAATTTTTTTTTTACGCTTCCCAATCTGTTGTATTTTATTGCTGTCCTAAGTTTTGCAAATCAGTTTTGACAAATTAAAAAAAATAGGAGCAAACTAGAAAATATGTAAAAGCAGAGACAGAATGGCCTTTATTTTAATTCAACTGAATTCATTCAGTGTTCTTCGCCCGCCTCATCGTTGTGGGGCTGATTCCTGTCTCCAGCAGTCTACGGGCGATAGGCAGGGCACACTGTGGACAGGTCACCAGTCTATCACAGTCAATTTGATTTTGTTTATTTACATAGCCCCAATTCACAGCACATATCAAAGAACTTTACAGAGACAATTCAATCAGATCATACAGTCAGTTTGGTTTAAAGTTTTCTTTGTAAGGAAACCAAGCTGATTGCATCAAGTCATTGACTTTGCAGGATTCGCTAGCCCTGGATGAGTATGTGGCAGAGTTCTTACCATCGGGTGGCTGCTTTCAAATTTGTCCCTGATTAGCTTAAATTCAGACAGATATGCTATTTTTTTATGAGAATATCTGCCCTTTGAAAGTCATCTAGTCTCCCTCCCCCAGGTCTGTGTCAAGTGAATTTCACTACAAACACTGATTAGGCTAAAGTTTAAAGGACTACACTGAAATTGCTCGATACACTTTGCTCATATAAGTAAGAAAAGCCCTGTGAACCTTGCTTTGATTGACTCACCATGAGCACTGACAGTCACATTAGCACTGGGTTAGCTAACTGGGTTTGAAAGGAATCTTATATGGTACACATACACGGTCAAGACAACTGACCATGTGTAGCATTAAAAAAACAATGATCCCTCACATCAAGCATGCATGCAGGACATTGGTGAATGGTCTAAACACTAAAAGGCAGGCCTAACTCTATGATCTTTAATCAAAGATGTTGATAATAGCAGCCTAGCTGATATTTCTCTCCAGGATGGTTCCACAGCTAAACAGGACCAGACTAGATTACTATGACAGCAAAATATAGAGATAAAATAGACTTAGGATGAAATGGATGATGTAAGTTGGTCCCTATGTCCTCCAGCAATCTAAGCCTATAGCAGCATAACTATGGAGAAAGCTCAGGGTAACTTGAGCAACTTTGACTAAAAGGCTTATAAATAAGGGAAGTTGTAAGCCCAGCTTTATAACTAGTCTGAAGCCTAGACAGGGTTACAATCTCATGAAAATAGGTAGTTAGTTCCACAAGAGAGAAGGCTGGTAACTAAAAGATCTGCCTCTCATTCTACTTTTAGAAATTTTAGGAACCACTAGTAACCTGCAAATTGAGAGTGAAGTGCTCTGTTAGGAACATAAAGAACAATCATTTATTTTTTTATTGATTATAAATCCCAAAATTCTAAATTTAAGATGTGTTTAACTGCACAGGCCTAGTTTGCTACACACATCTGTTAGGGTCTTCCTTGTTAGGATTTGCTGTTATATTCAAGTTAGGATAGTTTATAACAGAGAATCTGAAGTACGTACATAAAAAAAAAGTTATTAGAGAATAATTAGATTTAGATGACAATTAATCTATCTTATTTATCTTTATATTTTTCCTAACAAATGTAGCTGATGATTTGTGAAACAGACAGGCATGACATGGATCTGGAGACGTGTCTGTGTGTGCCTTCACAATCCTAACTGCTACATCAGTCTTCAAATTTAGCAATTTTTTTTAATTAAACATTTATTATTAAAGAAATATCATCCAGATGTTTTTTTTTTGTGTGTGTTCTGACATCTTAATTTATTTTCTGATCTAATTAAAAATTCTTTAGACAGATGTACATCAGCATGTGTCATCACTGAAGCATTTCTGATTGAAAATGTGTGTTGCTTTTTAAAGGTTGCCATTTGGGAGCTGGATTTAAATTAAATTACAGGTTTTTGCTTCATAAAATAGATCATTTTACTAAATCTATCTGCATTTCTATTTCACCTGTATTTTTCATAGGTTTGAGAAGATGATAAGTGGGATGTACATGGGGGAGCTGGTGCGTCTCATCATGGTGAAGATGGCCAGAGATAAGCTGTTGTTCCAGGGCAACACTACGCCAGATCTTCTTACCACCGGACACTTCAGCACCAACTATGTCTACACTATTGAGAGTGACAAGTTAGTATTGGGGCAATATTAACATAAAGTTCGTCTTTATCGTATCAAGATAATGTAGTGTTATTTTGATGCCGTTCCACCTCCTACCTGTTAGGAAAAAAGGACCTATTTGCACCCATGTATTTAACTACTGCATTTAATTTTATTTTAGGTCATATGGAATAAATTAAATTCTCTGAAGTAAAGGTTTATTTACAGCTACCTTGAAACCTGCCATACAATTCTTGTTTTAAGGATAGAATAATCATAACTAAAATAGAGGATGCCATCAGAAGGAATGCTTCCTTAAATATTTTCTTTTGGAACTGGACCAACATGCCACCCGAAGGCTTAGATGAAATTATAATTTTTGCTAACTCTACAAAGTTACTAGCTGAACTACGACGGAGTATTAGGGCCACACATGAAGAGAAAAAATATTTTTGCCATGACGAGATTAAAGACATGTCGACTTTAAACTCGCCATTTCGAGAATAAAGTTGAAATGTCTTGTTGAGTTTAATCTCGACGTGTCGACTTTAAACTCGCCCTGTCGACTTTAAACTCGCCATTTCGAGAATAAAGTTGATATACCGTGGCGACTTTAATCTCGACATTCCAAAGTTTGGAGAAAAGAGCAACCGCGCTCCACAGCTGCAGTCTGCGTTTGGAGAAAAGAGCAACCGCGCTCCACAGCTGCAGTCTGCGTTTTAAGAGTGAAGGTAGTCTTTGACGTGCTGCAACTATATAACTGTATAATCATCACAGAAAGTACAATTTGACCAAATCATCTACACAAGGCATGTCTGATTCTGGATTCTGTGCATGTAACCTGTGCAGCGGTTGGCTCTCTTGAACTAATTTCAACTTTATTGTCGACACGTCGAGATTAAACTCAACATGACATTTCAACTTTATTCTCGAAATGTTGAGTTTAATGTCGACATGTCGACTTTAAAGTCGACATGTCGAGTTTAATCTCGTCATGGCAAAAATATTTTTTCTCTTCATGTGTGGCCCTAATACTCCGTCGTACTGAACAGTCCAAACACAACTCATGTCTATAGTTACCTCAACTAATGCTTTACTCTCTGTAGATGAATTAAAGCTACAGTGTGTAATAATTACAGGCATATAAAGTCAGAAATTTAATATATTATACATAACTATGTTATTTATCATCACCTATGAGCTCAGCCTTTTAACCATAATATTTGCGTTGCCTTAGAATTCGTTATTTATAATTACATAGGAGCGGGTCTCGCAGCCATGGAGGCTGACATCTTTGCGCTACGGCAAGCGCAGAGGCAACAAACTAGCGATTGCGAGATCTCCCATGACGCTCAAAAATAACTACGGCAAGTTGAGAGAGATTAACTGAGACGGTACTGAACAGTAGATGGCAGTATTATGCCTGAGAAGCGTTTAGTCTGCCTGAAACCAAAGAAGAAGAAGAAGCAGGTATACTGCGCCTCAGTAACAAGAAAGGTGAACAAGGCGGCAGGCGTGAGTGACTTTGCAAACTGTTTGGCACTGTGTGGCCAAACATCAGACGAATGGAGGATCATGCCTACTCTGTATCACAACGAAAAGCGGCGGACACCGAACCCCCGTCATCTAAGAAGCGGAAACACGACGAGAATAAACGCAAGCGTGACAAGAAACGGCAAAAAACACGGATCAACATTGGCACGGCATTTACACGATGGAAGTCACTGATGGAGGAAAAAGGTTTTCAAAGTGACGCTCAAGTTGCCAGTTTTCTCTTGGACAGGTAATTAATCCTATACACACAATTGTCTAATATCACTGCAGTTTTTGGAGTACAGGATGCTCAGACCTGTCTAAAACAATAACATGCTGCGTAATGATGCTGTTACTCTCCAGTATACTTATTCAGCAACGTCCCTGACGTTTCATAGGTAATGATTCAGTAATTTTCTGTAAAATAATTTTCTGGATATATACCTCGGTTACTTCTCTCCGGCTCCTTTGGAGATCTTCAAGCCTTTCCTCCTCTGCTCTCACCCCGCTGGCTCCCCTCTCTCGCCTGGCCCTAGCTGCACGGCCTCCCTGCCTTCGCCCTCGTCCTCTCCCTCTCCCTCGCGTTGTAACCCCCGTGCCACCAAAACGACTTGGACTCTGTAAACGGGGGATATATATTCTTCCAGCGAACACAATCTCGCTGTTAAACTAATGACTACAATTACTTCGTCTGTTTATATCACCATGCAAAGCAGCTCACCAAGACGTCACAACGATGTAGAAAAAATAACGGGTATATTTATTATCTTAAGTCTACATGAAATCTATACCCTACACAGACTAATGAAATACTATCTGTAAAATTATCTATGTAAACAAACCTCATCACTTGAGAGGGTAGGTGATGTGGACGTCGTAGAAGAAATTTTGTCCCGTAACGCTCGCCGTACTGTTGGGGGGGAGAAGCGGTGGGGGGGAGATGTTCATGTTGCTGCGGTCTGTAGTCTGACCGCTAGATGTCGCTGAAAATTACACACTGTAGCTTTAATCCTATTTTTAGGGGTGCCACTAATCTTATTTTAATAGAATCAATCTTATTTATAAAGAATCCCATAAAATCATTACTACTGAGAGCTGGGGGAATGTACTGCTCTTGGAAGGGCATTTTATACAGCAATACACTTTCTTTCAGACTTAGTAGAATTTACCTAGATGCGTATAGAGTGGCATTTATTAATCCAAAGCAAGAAGCTCTACCTTCCTGTTAATAAAGTCCTCCTTTTTCATAGGGGGCTACGTTGTCTAAAGCAACAAGCTGAGAGGAAATAACTTTGCCAACATAACTATTAATTTGTGAAAAGGAATAAATAAAATGGTTGCACTCCACTTTATTGTTCTGTTATACAGAGGAGATAGAAATTGAACAGATTCTTTAAAATGTATATCTGCATTATCTGATAATGATCTGCTTCAATGAAGAAATTCTTCTAAGGGAAGGAGAACTCTGCTGAATTATCCTTGAATGTTACAAAACATTGTCAGATAGTACAGAGTTCTGAGCAAAAAGTTTAGTTTTTGTCTTTTTTTATACAGTTTATGCCATTTGTCAGAACAAGTTCCAAAGCACGGTCTATGCCCATCTTAGACAAAGCCAATCGGGTCTAAGACAGCATTAATGGTTGCATTTAGACTTAGTGCCTTAAATGACAGCATGAATTTTGAAATCCCCCACTATAACAACCTTGTCAGTGTTCAACACTAGATCAGCGAGGAAGTCTGAAAACTGATCTAAAAACTAAGAGTAAGGAACAGGGGGGATGTAGAAAATCCAAACAGAAGTGGTTATGGTGCTTTACAGTTTGGATACGGAAAAATGTTTAAAAGAATTGTAATTATTAGCTGGCGTTGGACTAATCAGTAAATCAGACTGATAGATAGTTGTTGCTCCTTTTTCACGTAGAATTTCTGGGTATGTTGAATTTTATGTGACCAGAGGGAGTTTATTTATGCTAACATATTTTTCTTAAACAGTTTCGATAAGACAATATAAACAAATCTTATTATCACAAAGACAATATAAATTAATCTGATTATCACAAATCAACTCTTTAGGATAGGGATATGTTCCTCCAAAACCCTGGGTTGTCAGGATTTCTGGAGGACTGAATTTGGACGGATTCCACCAAAGAAGAGCTGCTCTGTCCAAAGAGGGATTAATGCCTTTTCTCCGAATCAGATCAGATTTTCCTTTAAAAGTTTTCCATTGTTCAAATTAGGTAAAATCATTTTCAGGAAACCTCCTAGACAACAAGTGGTTGAATGACAACATCTGGCCTAACACGTCATTGTTGGTCAGATCAGGGAAGGGTGTGGGGAATCCAACATTGTTATGGAAAACTATGGTGCAACGCTAACTTTAGTGACCTCCGATAACTGGGCATGATTACCACCTGCAGGAAGACCAGTTTTACTGTATTTAACCTTATCCTCTGTAAGCAGTTTCAAGCATGTTTCCCCTTCTGGAAACCATGGTCCCTGGTTTCTCTAATGCCCTGTTTGTGACTATGGAGCTTCAAATGATCATGGTCAGCTTCTAAGCAGCTGAGTGGGAAAAATCCCTAAGAAATGCACGCATGGGGTGAACCTCATGCCAATGTTTAGTTTCATTTGAATTTGGCAATGATGCAGATAATTTGCAAGTTTTAGCTGTCAGTCACAATTTGGGGTAAAATGTGCTGCTTGGCAGAGACATTTGCACTCTGAGTGCTTTTCTAGTTTGAAATTTTTCATGGTGTGTTTGATGATTGCACCCAAAATGGAGAAAAAACAAATCACCTTAACTGCAGTTTGAATTTTTTTCTTCTTCCTTTTATAAGGCAAGTTACTGTTTGTGATCATTTGCATCCCCCTAACAAATGGTGTGTCCCCCTGTCCCTCAGTGAGGTCTAGAAGCATAAGATCTATATCCAGCCATTCAGCAAAGATACTGCTATATGGCTGTACATCTTATTTTAGCATTTGACCAATTAGATGAGCCCTTGAAAGATATATTACCTACTGTAAATAAAGTTGAAAAAAAAAAGTTATCAAGTCAAGAAAAGAAGGTATAAAGCTAATTAAAAAGTTAAAAGGTAAATATGCCTCGTTAACAATTATATTTAGGTGTATAAACTAGACTTACGTTGTACCAAAAAAAATTGTTTTATCATGAATTTCTTATAGAAGCACTTTTGTTGTTTTTCTTAATATATTCTTGCAAAATGGCGATTTTATTTCATCGACATTCATTTTTTCCAACAAAATATCCATATTTTCTGAATCTTACAAAGGTAATAAGGTCTGGTCCTGGATTGGCTTGAAATTTAGTTTTTCACTAAGTGCCCTATAAAGGGTTAAGAAAAACATTTTGAAGAAGCAGAAGTATCTGGGATATTTATAGCGCTTACATGCCAACAAATAAACCCACCTAAATGTTATTTTCTAGATTCCCTGTTCTTGACAATGAAAGCTGTTCAAAAATAAATGTTTTTCTTTGCTCTCCATGCAGAGATGAAGAAGGTCTAGCAAATGCTGAGAAGGTGCTCCGTAGCATGGGTCTCAACCCGTCTGCTGAGGACTGCGCCGCTACCAGGAGGATTTGTCAGATCGTTTCGACTCGCGCAGCACACCTGTGTGCTGCCACCCTGGCAGCAGTGATGCGACAGATCCGGGATAACAAAGCGGCTGAAAAGTTGCGCATCACCATTGGAGTAGATGGCTCAGTTTACAAAAATCACCCAGAGTAAGTGATCTAGAGCACCTATCTGTGTGCCTCTCTTTTTACACGTCTTTTACTATTTTTCAAGGCTGCACTTTAAAAAAAAAAATGAAATTGTCCAGAGAGCTGTTTTAAACTAAATTTCTTTTTGTTTTACACTTTTGTAAAAGAAATGACAAATAAATCTGTCTGTAATGTAATATTAGATCATAAACTTAATGGTATTAAATATACTGAGTATTAGGATATATTTTTTTTTATATAGCAGCATTTCTACATGTCTTTGGGTGTATTTACGCTAAAATGGAATAAAGTAAAAGTAATCGCCACATGTTCATTGTTCAAATTCTCTTTACATATTTAGAGCTCCTCGACACAGAGGGGATTTGTCTCCCTTGTAACTGGCTGCTTGACTGACTTCAAGTCAGGATTTACAAAGCTGTTTATTTGTTTCCTACTTTTTCCATCTCTTGGAAAAATATTTGTCCAGCCTGGTGATCATGTTGTAATAAATAACAAACTCACACCACGCAGTTCCAGCTATCCAGTGTTTGGTAGGAGCTTTGTAATTTCTCTCTTAGATACACTCAGGCTGGTGTGTAGGACTTACAGTTAGGCTGGATATCAGCAGTCAGTTGTAATGAGTTAAAGCTACAGGCTTTGGACCAGCCTACTGATCGGGATGTAATCATCCACACTGATCCCTCTTGATTAAAATTCACCTTGCTCCGTCTCTTTTAACAGGGCTTGACTCGACAAAAGGGTTTTTCACTTCGCAAATACATAAACAGGAGAGCCACATATTTATACTTTCATCACACTTATATTATTCAGTTATTTATTTTTTGGTTTCCTTTGTTTATTTATTTTTTTGTCCAGTTCATAAAATAGGTTAGACATTATTGTAAAACGCTACAATTACATTGAATTTCTGTATTTGTTGTTTAAGCAAAACCGAGTACAGAAAATATACGTTATGTTTATTTTATTTATTTTCATTACGTGTAAAATTTGCATAATTGTAAAGGATGAAATTAGATTAGATGTATAAATAAACACATATTTCCATTAATAAACCAAAGCCAACATAAACATTTTTGTTGTAATTCTCTCAAAAAGGGATGTTATAAGCTGTTGAGTTTCTTGTTGATGCAGCATCCGCTACCTTGTGGAGGCACTATAAAAGCCTATTGACGATAGCTATTTAAAACGGCAATTGAAAATCTTCCTCCAGGTATCAAAAGCTTTTTTCATTACGAGATTTTTTTTTAATGGAGTTGTAATTTACCATGACATGATTTGACTGCGACTTTCTCAGAAGCTAGTCACACCTTTTAAGAGGAAAATATATTTATATATTTTTTTCTCCTTTTTTTTTTGCATCACACAAGTCATATGATCAATAACCAGACATTATTAATGGTTAAAATGATGTAGACGGGTACAAAATGTTGTGCAATAGTGAGTTATTCCTAGAACAAAAACATTTTCAGTCATTTTAATCGCATTTCTGATTAAATGGAAACTACAATTGCAAAATTGTATTTCTTTCTTAAATATTATCAGAAAATCAAAACATTTTGGTGCACATTTGTAATGGAAATGCAGCTACTGGTTTTGTTTATTGTTTAGCCAATTTCACAACCTTCCTGGAAGATAAGTCTGCTCTTGAACCAGCAGCTTTCGTCTCTGCTTTTTCCAATTGATGTGCTCCTTCTGCCGACAGCAGTTTGCATCCGAGTGCGAAGCAGACAGGAGGAATATCTATTAAATCCAAGTCTTTGGTTCTCGATTGAGAAAAGACTTTCCCCTCTTCAGGTGGGAGGGGAGTTCTTGTCTCAAATATAGGGGATGAAATAACTTGGAGTTTTATTTACGATTGATAAATGGAAGATGAGCATTAGCAGAAATCATTGTTTCATTTTCTATTATATTTAATTCAATTCAGTTTATTTATATAGCGGCAAGTCACAACATGTCATCTCTAGGAACTTTACAGAGACAACAGGTCAACAGTCAGATTGGTTCCAAGTTTCTTTGAACCAAGGAAATCTGAGGAATCCAGCTGTTTGCATCAACGCATGCTTTTAGCAACAGTGGAGAGGAAAAACTCCCTTTTAACAGGAAGAAACGTCCAGCAGAACTTTGCTCAGCATGAGTGGTCAACTGCTGAGGCCGACTGGAGTTTAGTATAGTCCAAAAAAAATCAGTCGCTCTGCAGTCGCTATACATCAAAAGTGTGTTTAGCAATTAATTTGGCAATAATTTAGCGTTTTACAGAATCGTGATTTTAATTATTCTTATCACTGCAGATTTTCCAGGAGGCTGAACAAAATGGTGCGGCGCCTGGTTCCAGACTGTGACGTCCGGTTTCTGCAGTCACAGCACGGCAGCGGTAAAGGTGCAGCGATGGTCACCGCAGTGGCCTACCGTCTTGCTGCTCAGCATGCAGAGAGGCAGCGCATCCTTGACACCCTGCGTTTGAGTCGTGAGCAGCTGTTTGAGGTCAAGAGGAGAATGACAGAGGAGATGGCACGAGGCCTTTCAAAGCAAACGCATGACCAAACGAGCGTCAAGATGCTTCCTACGTATGTCCGATCCACTCCAGACGGAACAGGTAGCTTTAAACGAAAACAAGACGTCTGGAACTTCTTCCTCAATTAAGACTTTTTTCTTCTGTTCAAGCAAATTTGTTTCTCTTTTTTTATATTAGAACAAGGAGATTTCTTGGCTTTGGACCTTGGTGGATCTAGTTTCCGTGTTCTTCTTGTTCGGCTCAAAAAAGAAAAGAAGCAAAAGGTGGACATGCACCAGAAGATCTACAGCATCGATCAGGATACAATGCAAGGCACAGGGGAAGAGGTACCAAGTTATCTGAGATTAAAACAACTGATAATGATTCCTTGTATAACCTATTTGTTAGGGTAAGTGCAAACAGTAAGCTGGAGTCGCACTTTTTCATGTAAAGATGAGTTTCACATGGATTCGTGTGGAACAAAATATGGAACAAAGTTTTTTTTACAAGTATGAAATACACTATATTGCCAAAAGTATTTGCTCACCTGCCTTGACTCACATATGAGCTTAAGTGACATCCCGTTCCTAATCCATAGGGTTCAATATGACGTCGGTCCACCCTTTGCAGCTAGAACAGCTTCAACTCTTCTGGGAAGGCTGTCCACAAGGTTTAGGAGTGTGTTTATGGGAATTTTTGACCATTCTTCCAGAAGCGCATTTGTGAGGTCGCACACTGATGTTGGACGAGAAGGCCTGGCTCTCAGTCTCCGCTCTAATTCATCCCAAAGGTGTTCTATCGGGTTGAGGTCAGGACTCTGTGCAGGCCAGTCAAGTTCATCCACACCAGACTCTGTCATCCATGTCTTTATGGACCTTGCTTTGTGCACTGGTGCACAGTCATGTTGGAAGAGGAAGGGGCCAGCTCCAAACTGTTCCCACAAAGTTGGGAGCATGGAATTGTCCAAAATGTCTTGGTATGCTGAAGCATTCAGAGTTCCTTTCACTGGAACTAAGGGGCCAAGCCCAGCTCCTGAAAAACAACCTCACACCATAATCCCCCCTCCAACAAACTTTACACTTGGCACAATGCAGTCAGACAAGTACCGTTCTCCTGGCAACCGCCAAACCCAGACCCGTCCATCAGATTGCCAGATGGAGAAGCGCGATTCGTCACTCCAGAGAACGCGTCTCCACTGCTCTAGAGTCCAGTGGCGGCGTGCTTTACACCACCGCATCCGACGCTTTGCATTGCACTTGGTGATGTATGGCTTGGATGCAGCTGCTCGACCATGGAAACCCATTCCATGAAGCTCTCTGCGCACTGTTCTTGAGCTAATCTGAAGGCCACATGAAGTTTGGAGGTCTGTAGTGATTGACTCTGCAGAAAGTTGGCGACCTCTTCGCACTATGCACGTCAGCATCCGCTGACCCCGCTCCGTCAGTTTACGTGGCCTACCTCTTCGTGGCTGAGTTGCTGTCGTTCCCAAACACTTCCATTTTCTTATAATACAGCTGACAGTTGACTGTGGAATATTTAGGAGCGAGGAAATTTCACGACTGGATTTGTTGCACAGGTGGCATCCTATCACAGTTCCACGCTGGAATTCACTGAGCTCCTGAGAGCGACCCATTCTTTCACAAATGTTTGTAAAAACAGTCTGCATGCCTAGGTGCTTGAATTTATACACCTGTGGCCATGGAAGTGATTGGAACACCTGATTCCAATAATTTGGATGGGTGAGCAAATACTTTTGGCAATATAGTGTATGTGTGCTGCTTGTACGGCACCTGCATTTATTTCCGTTAAGAAGAAATGTATGAAGTATTCACTGCTAGACTACATCAGTACAAGCGAATTCAGTTTTTAAAGAACTGTTTTGTGTAGTCTTCACACATAAATAAGATTTTGGAGTAGTAAAAGATTAGTGTACTTGTCTTTCAAGCAATTCCAAAAAAACATTGAGAGGAAATGGAAATAAGCATGCAACCATGACTGCTGAAAGCGGGCAGAGAAGTCAGATGATTTACATCTAGATTATCACAAGGAATTTTCCAGAGACAAGCTTAAAGTAATTAAAGGGAATTCATAATGGACATGGTCATGTACAATTCCTATAAAAAACATCAAAAGCCATGTTTTAATCTTAAAACAAAGCAACATAGGCCAACGTTTGCTCTGTTAGTGTTTACTTGGTCCGTTTTGAGCCTAAAAATTATGTGTACGCAATCGGCAAGCAAACATTGTTCTGCGCCATCGTCATCTTGCTGGCAGTACTAACAGAAGCATTCATTAAGTTTGCAGCTTCTAATGCTGCGTTCACACCAAAAGCAGCAGAGGCAGCAGAAGCAGCTAGTTTACATCCAAAGTCAATGGTTGATGAGCGTCAAGGCGCCGCAAAATGTCCCGCAGCGCGGCTGATCAGCTGAAGCAGCTTGTCGGGAGCGTCTGAGCAACTGACGTGCGTGACGCAAACGCAGCTGCTGCTTGAGATGGAAAAATCGAACGCGCCACATCAACCAATCAGAGAAGCTGATCTGGGACCTGGCAGGGCGACAGACATCGCTGATGATACAGATCACTATAATCACTCCTCTGAAACAGTTTAATAACACCTAAATTAACCTAAAATGCTGAAACCTGCCGGCAAAACATGTTCGGGTTTATTATCCTGTTGCCTGCAGTTTGGTTTGCGTACATAAAAAACGCCTTCCAGCCGCCGCAGCAAACCGCAAGGAGGCGACCGGGCCAGAGGCTGCTGGTGAATGGAATCCTACTGACAGCGCACCGCTGGTATGTGGGGGTCAAAGCGGCTCCGACAGAAATAATATTTGAAGGCAGGATGGTAATCTGGATGAACTGACTGCACAGATTAAGTTTTCAGGTGGATTTTCCCACTTAGAAACATATTAAAACTACTTTATATCCACTGATCACAGCAAATATAGCTGCCAGGCAAAGAAGTTTTAGGGTAGCTCCGCCCAACGCGCATCAGACCCACTTTTTCCACCTCGCAACTGAAGCAGCTTTGCTGCTCCTGCTGCGCGCCAGAACTAACTTGTACAAGCATCAAACATGAAGCAGCAGACGTGTTTTTGCTGATCTTGCTGCGTTTGGTGTGAACGCAGCTTAATGCTTTACCTTCCACATCAGTGTACTTCAACACTCACCGTATATTCCTAGTCTGGCTACTGGCAACTAATTTCTCTGGCATCTCTTTTTTTTTTAAAGAAACTTGACTTTTCCTCAACTTTTACTTACTTTGTGCTATAACCCTCTTGCTATTATCATTATCATACCATGTCAAATGGTCCTGTTCTGATAAATAAATAAAACTCTGTTTTTCTCCCTTTGTGAGCAAACATAAAAGTAAGTGTAGGTGACTAGGCATCTTTAATACTGTTGTCTAGACCAGTGTTTCCCAACCTTTTTTGACTTGTCTTACCATGAGTTAGCCTGACGTAGTCCTACTCAATTCTAGTCAGAATATGACTCTGATACTGCTCCATAGAGCTGTGATTATGGGGCGTGTTTCGAACGAACCAGGAAAAAAAATGCCTCTGCACTCAATTGGATAGACCTACAACCAATAAGAACAACGGAGTGCGTGACGTATGTTAAGCGACGCATAGTTGTTGTCAACAAAAATCAAAGCGTGCAGTTGCACGCCTAGAATAAGAAGATGAGCCTTGATCGCGTTTCTCTGTTCCTCTTTTAAAATTAATTTGTTGTCGATATCTTCTAGAACAGACCTAATAGCAGAATCTACACACCTAAACTCTCCAGCGGCAGCCATTGTTGTTGTCACCCAAGCGCGCTTTGGTGACGTGGTTGATTACGTTACTGTTGATCATCTGTCCATCATCATATAAAGCCCGTCCTGACAATTTGATTGGCCCGCCAGATATTGGGCGAGCATACTCGCGCTACTATTAAGCAATGCCAGACCGAACTTCCCGACCTCAAACGTTGTGGGCGGGACTAAGTTCGGAATGGCACCCAGGCTAACCATGAGTACCCCTATCAGTCAAAAGTATTGATGGTTGCCAAAAGTTTATTTTACTTTATATTTTCATTTCAGCATTTCATTTTTATAATTTTATGTATTCAATCTCAAATAAAAAGAAAACAAATAAATATGTTGCCTGGAACTTGGTGAGGAATAAAAATAAAAAGATTAAAAAAAAAACATATTACAAACCTTTATTTATAAAACTGGAGCTCCTTTGAGTAACTCTCTTATGATGGGGAGTGTTGGCCTAGTGGGCCAACTCCATTCTGGGTTCCTGAGCAAAACCTTTTAACCTGTGATTGCTCCCCGGCCGCCCCACAATGGCAGCCCACTGCTCCCCAAGGGGATGGGTCAAATGCAGAGTGAATTTCTCCAATGTGTGATCAATAAAGTTCAATTATTATCTATTTTAATCACATTTAAGCTTTATGAATTGGGAACAAAATGTAGAACAAAAATTATAGTCAGACTGACTTAATTAATTTTACTGTTTCCATCAAAACACCTGAGCTGCTTTGATGAGCTGCAATAGCTCAGTTTGAAAACCAGCTGATCCTCGGCTGTTCTCAGCATCCAGTCTGTTCCTCTGCTTGGTTTTGTTGTGTGTCACAGCTAAAGGTGAACTCAAACATATAACAAAAACTTACTTTTTAGTTGATAAAAGCTTGTTTTATTTGTTCAGTCGGGATATCACAAAACAAAACAGATCCCAGCTCTGTTTTATTTTCATGAGCCCCTTGCAATGCACTTGCTGACCACTAGGGGTATGCGTACCTCGGTTTGGAAACACTGGTCTAGATGTTATTAGACAGGCTACAGTTTGAACCAACAACAGGTTGCAAGAGCTGACTGAACAGCCAGTCATCTGGGGAAACTAAATCGATATATTATACAGGTGCTGGTCATAAAATTAGAATATCATGAAAAAGTAGATTGATTTCAGTAATTCCATTTAAAAAGTGAAACTTGTATATTATATTCATACATTACATACAAACTCATATATTTCAGATGTTTATTTTGTTTAATTTTGATGATTACAAATGACAACAAATGAAAATCCCAAATTCATCATATCAGAAAATTAGAATATTACTGAAGACCAATAAAAACAAAGGATTTATAGAAATGTTGGCCAACTGAAAAGTATGAACATGAAAAGTATGAGCATGTACAGCACTCAGTATTTAGTTGGGCCTCCTTTGGCCTGTATTACTGCAGCAATGCGGCGTGGCGTGGAGTCGATCAGTCTGTGGCACTGCTCAGGTGTTATGATAGCCCAGGTTGCTCTAATAGTGGCTTTTAGCTCTTCTGAATTGTTGGGTCTGGTGTATTGCATCTTCTTCTTCACAATACCCCATAGATTTTCTATGGGGTTAAGGTCAGGAGAGTTTGCTGGCCAATTAAGAACAGGGATACCATGGTCCTTCAACCAGGTACTGGTAGCTTTGGCACTGTGTGCAGGTGCCAAGTCCTGTTGGAAAATGAAATCTGCATCTCCAAAAAGTTGGTCAGCTGCAGGAAGCATGAAGTGCTCTAAAACTTCCTGGTATGTGGCTGCGTTGACCCTGGACCTCAGAAAACACAATGGACCAACACCAGCAGATGACATGGCACCCCAAACCATCACTGACTGTGGAAACTTTACACTGGACTTCAAGCAACGTGGATGAAGTGCCTCTCTTCTTTTCCTCCAGACTCTGGGACCTTGATTTCCAAAGGAAATGCAAAATTTACTTTCATCAGAGAACATGACTTTGGACCACTCACCAGCAGTCCAGTCCTGTTTCTCTTTAGCCCAGGCAAGACGCTTCTGATGCTGTCTGTGGTTCAAGAGTGGCTTGACACAAGGAATGCGACAGCAGAAACCCATGTCTTTCATACGTCTGTGTGTGGTGGTTCTTGAAGCACTCACTCCAGCTGCAGTCCACTCTTTGTGAATCTCCCCCACATTTTTGAATGGGTTTTGTTTCACAATCCTCTCCAGGGTGCGGTTATCTCTCTTGCTTGTACACTTTTTTCGACCACATCTTTTCCTTCCCTTCGCCTCTCTATTAATGTGCTTGGACACTGAGCTCTGTGAACAGCCAGCCTCTTTAGCGATGACCTTTTGTGTCTTGCCCTCCTTGTGCAAGGTGTCGATGGTCGTCTTTTGGACAACTGTCAAGTCAGCAGTCTTCCCCATGATTGTGTAGCCTATAGAACTAGACTGAAAGACCATTTAAAGGCTTTTGCAGGTGGTTTGAGTTAATTAGCTGATTAGAGTGTGGATCCAGGGGCCATCAATTTTGAACCTTTTCACAATATTCTAATTTTCTGATATGATGAATTTGAGATTTTCATTTGTTGTCATTTGTAATCATCAAAATTAAACAAAATAAACATCTGAAATATATAAGTTTGTATGTAATGTATGAATATAATATACAAGTTTCACTTTTTAAATGGAATTACTGAAATCAATCTACTTTTTCATGATATTCTAATTTTATGACCAGCACCTGTAGAACCTGTTTTGATCTTGGTGGTCAGGTCCAATGAGATGCACCTTTTTTGTTTGTTTTTAGGGGGACTTAAATTGTTTGGAAGTATTTAATTGGGTTGTTTTTAAACTACGCATACTAATTTAATCAAACAGCATGTATCTTCTGGTAGCACAGAAAGGAAAGTTCTTAAATATACGATGGATGGAAAGTTTTAAACTCACTGAACCTTGATTGGAAATTTTATAAAAGTTACTGCAAGAATCATTTCAAACTTTTAACAGGTCTTTTTCTTTGGTCATGCTTTTCTTAATGTCTAAAAATAATAAGTGCAATAATAGTTTTTATTTCCTTTCATTGTTGTCTTTTAGCTCTTTGATCACATTGTGTACTGCATTGCTGACTTCTTGGATTACATGGGAATGCGAGGAGCTTCCTTACCTCTGGGATTTACTTTCTCTTTTCCGTGTGATCAAACCAAACTGGATGAGGTAAGATGTTCTCCTGGTTCTCTTTGCATATATTAGTGTTTAAACCCTGTTTATTTTTGCCCGTGTTTTAACCCCTTGATATTAAGCTGTCAGAATATGTTTAATGAAGGTTTAAGATATCCTTTTCATTAATCAAGGTAAATATTTGATTTAAAATTGTATAAAGAAAAAAAAATTTCTCTGCTAACAAAGCAGGGATGCATTAAGCAGAGTTTAGAGGTAATTGCTGTTTGCCTTTAAGCCTGTCAAACTGTTGGGGGGGGACAATGAGTCAAGCTCCTTCATGCAGCCTTAGTTTCTACAACAAAATACTAGCTTGACAAATAAAAGCTTACTAATCCAGCACTGAACGCAGCTGGAAGCCTAAACAATCAGTGAACGGTAGGTGTTTCCATTTACCTGGTGAGGAAGTTTAAAAGTACAGCACAGTGAAGTGAAGTCTGTGTCACTGCCGCTAAAACGCTGCAGGGTCTCCTTAAGGGAACATGATTGAACGATTAGGTGGAAGTTATTGTATCATTCGTCTTAGTTGAAGCAAATTCACCGCGATAAGAGTAAGGGTAGTCTAACATAAAAATTGGCTAAAACTAATCAGAAACCCTGCTTATGTTCAGAGTTTATGGTTTAGCTCTAACATGCTATTCAGTCAACTTTCATTCCCAATTTTTTGATTATGTAAAAATAAGAGTTTATTTTTTTTTTTTATTATAATTTTTATTTTTTATTTTTTTAGATAAAAACAACTGTTCTGTTGAGGTTATATAACCTCTTTATCCTTATGTTGGACATTCACCGAGGCCCATAGAGATCAAAACGAACAGTTTTGTTTTAGGGACATAGGGTGGCATGGCTGTGAGGTCTTTTTTATTTATTCTTAAGTAATGAATTATTCTCATTTATATTCATACCATGACATCAGATTTTAATAGCTTTTTAACCTGATCTTTGAACTTTTACTGAAAAATCTGCTTCCAGCTCAGCTGCTAATCAGCTAATCTGTTCTCTGCAAATCAAGATAATTATTACCCAATGTTCTGGATGAGGCGATAAGAAGAAGTCTGTCATATGTCTCATGTAAAGCATCACCTTTTCTAGCTGTTTTATGAATTATTAAAGATTGGGTAAGGCAAAAAAATCTTTTATTAAATTGATTTTAAATCCTTTGACAAAATCCAGACGCCTCAGCACAAACTTTGAAGCTCCATTTAACACCGAATAAATGTTGCATCTGCTGTAAATCTGAATGAATTCTGCTATAAACAGAAATGCGGCATCTGAGCTATTGTATTACTAAAACATGAAAAAAGGGAGGGGAACATTACTTTGCTCTCCTACATGGAATTATTAACAGTTTTCCATCCCAATCATATTTCAGTTGCGATTGTTTATCCATTAGGAGCAATTCCTTCAAATGCAATGATTTGATGAAATCAACTGGGTTTCCGTTGATACACATTTTTTAACCAGTCTGATTGTCACACTTAATTGAATGCCTCTGAAGTCTTTTTAGATGATATGTGCTGTAAATTGGTTCTATATAAATATATGAAATTGAACTGAATGAATTGCTTCTATATTTTTTTTTTTACGAAGCATAGAGTGCCATGTTTTCTCTGAACCCTTGCTGTTCTTTTTGTCCTTTGTGCAGGGCATTCTCCTGAAGTGGACAAAAGGTTTCAAAGCCAGCGGCTGTGAGGGGAAAGATGTTGTGATGTTACTTAAAGAGGCTGTTCGACGTAAACAGGTCAGTGCACAGCTGAAGCATTCTACACACACCGTTTCATGGGTATTGAACACTGAGCTATCACACAGTCAGGGCACAGCAAGTTTGTATGCTAACTGCATCTGTTTGAGCCAGGTTTACAGGTTAGACTTATAACAGATGGTTCTAAAACTGCCATGTTATTAGAGCATCCAAAGTTAATTAATCAGAATTTTTTTTTTATATATAGAAAGAGGATGAAGTCACAAACAGAACTAGCCTAGGTGAAGGTCCTTCCAGGACGGAGAAGCAGCTTTGATTTAGTTCTATAAAGAGAAAAAAGGAGAAGGAAAGCTTCAAGTAAAAGCTAAAAATACAAGCAAATTGAGGAAAGGTTGCCATCTTTTCCTTCTGCAGCCTTTGCCTTTTAGTGGCATAACTATGGATCATGTTCTTTAGAGCCTCTAAAGCTAAAAGGTTTACAGAGAGCAAAGTTAGAAGCCTGGTCTTAATGGTAGACAGGGTTGCTCCAGTTACACCATCAGCAGGCCTGCAGTCTCAGATTGGATTTGGGAAAATATAGAAAAAATGGTGACTGATTTATTGCATCACCTTGAAACTTTTTTAAATGACTTAAAACAACTATTTGCAGATATCTTACATTTTTTGCATTTTTTCAGACAGACACTTGTAGACCCTCCACGGATTAGCGGACCGGGGTCCGGATCCGGACCCACATGCAGGCTAATCTGGACCCAACCTGATTTAAAACATTTAGAAATTACCAGATGTTTTCCAACGACAATGTCTAATTTCACTTGCGCCGCTTCTCCTGTTTGTACGATAAAGCCCTCCAGAGCTTCCGGACCAGGCTACACGTGATACAAATTAGCTAATGAGATGCTGTCAGTCTGGGTTGCTGCTGCTGCTACTTTTAGACACAGCAGGCAAACCTGTGGCAAGCCGGGCGATGGGAAAGAAAGAGAAGATGATGAGAAAAAGTGAAAGAACATGTGTGGACTGTTGGAAGAACTGCGGTGAACTAGTGTAAGAAAAGTGAAATGGTGCTCAAAGATGACCTTGCACATTTAGAGTATGTTTGGCTCAACCTGCTGCTGTAAAAATGCAGTTCCCCACCATGAACAGAATCAAAGATAAATATCAATCCAGGTTCAAAATGAGCACCTTGATATGTGCTTTAGAATGGCTTTGTCTCCATTCAAACCCAGGTTTAAAGCCTTGCAGGGCAAACTAAAGTCCACTGCTCTCATTAAGACAGAAAAAAGAAAACAAACAAAAACAAACGCTCAGCTCATATGTTTTATAAAATATGTGGAACAGGAAATTGTCTATATACCAAACTGAATGATTGTTGTTCTCCACTTATAAAAACACTTTAGATGTTAAAATGTAAAAAAAAAAAAATTTATTTTATTTTTTTCAAAAAGTCGATGTAAAACATGGATGCAGAAAGCTTAATTTTATTTCGGTGTAAAATTCAATTTAAAGAAACAGATTATAATTAAAAATATCTCCGGACCTTTACTGGTTGATGATTTTCTTTATTCAGACCCCGCTGATTTTTAATTGGTTACCCCTGGTCTAATGGAATCTATATTTAAATATAATCACTTTTAATTATGATTAGTTAAAGTCGTAGGGAAGTCATATTTGGATGTAAAATCATTCTGGCTTAAACATGTATATAAATGTACTCTTTATCAGACTATATTGTCCCAAAAGTTTTTTCTATAAAAAAAAAAATTCCTGTCTTAAATCTGTGTTTTTTCCCGTTATTTTATGCAGGCCAGTTGGTTATACATTTGCTGGTAAACCTAAATCAGCCAATCATATATCAGCGGTCATCTGTCAATCAAACTTTTTTGGTCATAGCATCTTTATTCATATGTCGCAACGGTTAAAATAAGAAATAAGAATAATTAATTTTACCATCGAGTTCCGTCCCAGTGTTCACTGGAATGGACGTCTGTGTCTTCTGCAGGTGTAGAGCTAACAGAACTGGCAGCGTTGCGAGGCAAGGGCTAAAACATGTACGGGTGTAAGCCTTCTACACCAAACCAAGCTTCTGCCACCCTGTCCTCCACAGTATCTTCGTCCTCACTTTCCTCCTCTAAATAAATAATGTATGACGTAGGAGACTTATCCATGACCTCAGACAAAAAAACTCTCCTCCTCTTAATGTTTCCGCTGTCCATAGCGTTCCTTGATAGTGTTGTTTCTAAGTCTCTATTTTAGTGCTACTTGGTCCCAATGGAATTTCCCATTGGGAACCTACTAGCACTGAGTTGCTAACTGGTTAGCAAGATGCTTCCCAGAAACCGGTCACATTCAAACTTGCATGCAAACCTTCTGCCACAACAATCCCGCCCCTTGATAATCAACCAATCATATTCACTTTATTAACTCGTGTAAAGTCGGACATCACTCAGGAGAATTGAAATGCAACGTTTGGAACAGTAGCAGAGCCTGTTGCTTCATTCAAATCCAGCTGAAACAGCAGTGGTGGACTCTGACCATGACTGTTGAGAAAAAATTAAAAGCTTTAGTTTACTTTATTACGGTATTTGACTGATTTTTTCCCTTCAGCTTGTACAACAGTTTATTACATCCAAATATTTGCTGTTGTATTCTAAATGTTTGCTGTTCTGAACTAAGATCAGCCATTTCAGCATCTGAAACAGTCGCTTTTTAAATGGTTGTAAAATTATTTCTACACAATTTTCTTGAACTTAATAGACTTAATAGACAGAAATGTAATTTCAATCATTTTTTCCTAGTTAGCCTCCACAGTGTGAGAGTTATTTGCCATTACTGGTCATTCATTCCCATCACGCCGGCAGCACTAATATCACTCTGATGTGGTTTAATTAGACGGTACAATAGAGCTGCTGGCATTTTGACTTAATGCTGTTAGGTTGTTATAATTGGTGGGGCATTTGGATGAGTGTTTATTAATCCAAGCTTTAAGACAATTGGGTTTTCTCCAGGCTTATTTACCTCGTCTTATTAATCTAAAAAATGTGATTAAATTCATGCTTTCCTCCACATTTTGTGGAAACGATAAACATTTTTTCCCCCACTTGGACAGTTATCTTTATCCCAACCCGAGGAGGGAACATAAATAGAAGACTTCTGTTTGTTGCTGCTGCCATTTTTTAACCACTTATTTGGCAATGTGAGGCTTACTTGTTTATTCTTTAATGCCTTATGCTAAATGTTCAATTAATTTATTTCTTCTTATATGTGAAATGTATCCGTGGTCACAGAACTTCCAGTATCCTTTTATTCTTTAAAGAAGCATATAAGTGTTCATGTTGTGACACAGGTTTCTGCTTGTATTCTCTTCTTTCCAAAGATGTCACTTTAACTCTGGCAGTCCTTTTTAACCTCTTCCGAGAGTTTCAGAGTGCTTTATGGGAGGCAGAGATTCAGTGTGTGGGATGTTCGGCGAACATTGCCTAAGGCTTTCATACAGATGAGGTCACAGCTTGATTTCGAGTTTGATTTCTGCAGGAAGGCACAGAGGGGAAACGGAAATTCTAATTGAAAGAAGCCAACGACCTTTAGTCCAGATTTTTGACCTGCATTAGTAGGGCAGAAACCGAAAGCTTAGATGTTTTATTTTGTCGATTGGTGTAGAATTTAAAAAGGAGTGAGTGTATGGAGGTTAGGGAAAGAGGAATCCTTGCCTATGAGTTAAAGCGATGAGCAGTTAAACTTTTTCGAGGTGCTATGTGCAGTAGTCTAGTTGTTAAAAAAAAAAAAAAAAAAGAAGGGGGATGGTGGAATTTAATTTCATTTTTTGGAATCATCGCTGCCTAATTAACATAGTCCATAAACCTAAAGCAATATGCATGGTTTGGTTGTTACATGTCCCTGACTGGCATGCCTATCACTGCCCCTATATAGTTAGGGACAAATGTCCCACAGGTTCATAGTCATGGTAGGACACTTCTTTGATTTTATTTATGAAGCTCAGGCTACTCGTAAGCCCACAGCCCACCAAATTTTAAAAGGGCAATATTATTGCCATTACTGTTAATATATAGTAGAAATTTTACATATTCAGTAAGATGTCACAGGGGATGGTATGGGGGGATGGTCATTTAAGGAGGTGAATGATTTGTAAGATTTTTGAAGAAGGAGGATACCATCCTTCCTCATTCCCCCTCAACTCGAGTACTGGCTAATATGGGCCCCATCTAATTCCTGGTTAAATACAATGACAGATCATTTTTGTGGTTCTTCATTGTTTAATCTAAATACCCAGAAATATGTCCATGATTTAAACCTTAAAATAAAAAAAAGTTGAGATTCAAAAAAAAAAAAAAGAGTGGCAGAGAAAAGCAGAAGATAAGTCCTTAGGGTATATTCTTTCAGCATAGGACTTGGAATCCTGAGGTTGTGAGTTCGAAACCCACTGCCACTCTGGGTCTCTGAGCCAGACCCTTTACACTGCTCGCCGGGCGCTGCACAATGGCAGCCGACTGCTCCCCAGGGGGATCGGTTAAATGCAGAGAGGTAATTTGGGTAGTTTGGACTCTGTGACAGTGTAATGACAATAAACAAATAAGAAAGGTGGAAAAAAAAAAAGCTGGAGTTACCACATCATTGTCAGTTACTACTTCAAGACATTTTTCAGCCATGCTTTTTCTGAGCATTTCAAATTGGGCCTGCTTTTGCCATGTGGATACTAAAGTTACCTAGCTCTTAAATTAGTTCACATTATGTTGTGTTAAAACCACAAACTTCAATATATTTTGAGGCTTTTAAATGTCAGAAACTAACACAACTAACATCCATGCTTTATGTTCTAGAACCACATTTTGCTGCGTTTTTCAGTTTCCTTCTACCAATTTTCATAATGTTGTGACTGAACGTTTGGATTTATCATGACTGCTCCTTAGTCATGAGGTTTTTTGTGCTCATTGATGTTCTCCAAAACACCTACTGGACTGTCTCACAACACCAGAATAAATAAAAAAAAATCAGTAATTAGCTGTTTCTACAGACAGCTGGTTGTGCTGTATTTTACTCAGTGGTTTCATGGTAATTGCAACACAAGATTTTATTTAAGAAAAAAAAACTAAAACATTACATTTACCACTTCATGTTGAGTTGCATTTCAAAATCTAACTTATGCTGTGGTTGCAATGAGATCAAATGTGGGACTCTTGCAAACAGCTATATGTGGTTTATGCCTAACGGTGAACCTGCAGCCGAACCTGCAGACTTACATCCTGCCTACATTTCATCTATAAGTCAAATATATGATAAGCTCCTGTTTTGCTGATTGTAGAGGTCCTGTGCTAATCTGCATTATATCAAGACCATTCAAATAATTCCTATGCTTTTCACATAAATATTTTGGCTTATTTTGTGTTATAGTCCTTCACGCTCCCCCTATTGATCATATGTATTTCTTTACAGAATCCCATGAATAGACCTTTTTTTGGTTTCTTATATTGGTTTTGTAGTTGTTCCTATCTGTAATTTGGTGTTGTGTTTCTTAATCTAGAAATTTGACCTGAACTTTGTGGCGGTGGTAAATGACACAGTGGGGACCATGATGACCTGTGCTTATGAGGACCCCCAATGTGAGCTGGGCCTTATTGTAGGTAAGTCAGTGTTTTCTGTTCTACCTTGCTTGGTTATTATAACACGTGTTCACTGTGAGGGAATCTTCTTTAATGCTTTCACCAACATGCTAATATCATTTGCATTTATTTGATACCTCTGTCTTTGCCTCAGGCACAGGAACCAACGCCTGCTACATGGAGGAGATGCACAACATTGAGACAGTGGAGGGAAACGAAGGCCGCATGTGTGTCAATGTAGAATGGGGAGCGTTTGGTGAAAATGGTGAACTGGATGACTTTTGCACAGAGTTTGACCGTGCTGTGGATGAATGCTCCAATCACCCCGGGAAACAGAGGTATCTGCATTTCAACTGAATTAATTTCATTTATATGACACTTCAATCAAATCATGCAGACGAATTAGTTCAAAGTTTTCTTGATTTTATAATAATATGAACAAACTCAAGAACAAAGAAGTTTAAATGCTCACTATAGCTTCCTTATAAGCATCCAGACATCTTAAACATCTGTTTGACAGTTTGTTTTTCATACACTTTTAACAATAAAGCTGTTTGTGTCCAATAGAAAAACTTGACAATAAAAATTGTGCAATTTGCAGAAATTGGCTTATGAAATATTAATTATAGCCAGTTTGCTAAACTCTATCGTCTAAAGCTGTTTTTAGGTTTTACACCATACTAAAATACAGATTAGAGGTTAGCTAACCTATGAGTAAAAATGCTTTTTACAGTTTTGGTAAAAAAAAAAAAAAACATGAACTCAAGTTTAACTTACCATTTACCTTGTTTAAGCAACTACGTTAAATACAGTTTCTGAAAATTCTTTTAAGGTTTAAAATTATATCCTAATAGAAGTAAAAAGACCTTAAACGGTTTTAGATTTGATCTGCTAAAGTTTGTTGAATCCTAGTTTTATGTCAAGACCAGTCCCTGGAAGGTGCACAGCCTCAACTCTAAAATGGCGGCTACATGACTTACAGACAAACAATTAGAGTGTTTTCCCCCCTTTACAACAGAGCAGACAATGGTGACGCCACAAGGTCGGATTGGCTGCTAAACCATCCTGTTTATCTGTCATCTGGTTTGCTCTGCTTTGTGCTGAAGACTCCTCTCATGTGTGACATGCAGGTGTAGTTTGAAAAGAAAAAATCAGGACACATAAATATGTCAGAAAAAGGCAAGGAGCAGCAGGAGCAGAGGCAGCATTTAGTACACAGGAACATGTAGAAATACTTCGGATTCAAAGACTCAAGACAACAAGACAAATAAATAAAAAAGGAGGCCTTAATGGGTATTAAAATGTCTTAAATCAGTCTTTTGTAGGACTTAATTTTTAAAACATCATAAATAGGATTATTTTTATATGATTTATTTTTGTATTCTAAATAAAACATTCAAGTTTACTTTTTTTTTATAAAAAAAAAAAAAACGGCTCGCCATTATTGGTTCCGTCCCGATAGCGGAACCAATAAAAGCGTTGTTGCAGCCGGGACATTTGGGAGATGATTCATTTACTTTTTTTCTGGAAAATCTGAGCAAGTGTAAATATAACGAAAATTGTCTATCCAGCCAAGAGTTTTCTCCATGGCTAAAACTAGGGATCATACATGAGGCTCAGTGGATTTTGTGCAAGAAGTCATTCAAGCTCAGAATGATGGGAATTAAGGCAGGGGAGTCAAGTGCGAAGCGCGAAACACAAAGCGTCAAAATCTATTTCTCAGCCTCCACTCACCAAACCAAATATACTAAGAAAACGATACAAAAAAAAATTGTAAAAAAGACTTAGCACTGGTTATGTTGTGGCTTTAAAACTGATTTGTTTTGTTCCCTGCTAAAACAAAGTTTGTGAATTCAGTTAAATAATTGTTCAAATATATCTGTCATTTGTGTGTTTTTAGCTTTCTTCCTATAAGGGAAGCTTTTCAAAATTTGAAACATTAGTGCAGTGGTTTATGTTAAAATAAACCTTTGGGTTAAGTTATCACAAGCAGGTTTTTCTTGTGTTTCTTGCGAATTTGGTCTTAAACTTTTATTTCAAGTGGCCTTAAAAAGTCTTGAATTTATCTTGCCTTATGCTGTAGGAACCCTGGATAAATTTTTTACCAGCAGGTGGAGCCATTGCGCGCAGCTCCAAGCTGACACCAAAAGTTCAAAACCCCACAGCTCTGGAACTGTTATAGCTAGAGGTCTGAAATGTTCTGCATGTGTGGTTGACACGATGTAGAACAAATATATCACAATAAAACCTGCTTTTTTTTCAAGAATGTCTTTATTACTGCTGTTCAAAAAAGACCTATCATTTCCGAGAATAAAAAAACAACAACTTTGAGTCATGTTTGAACTGATGCTGGTTGGTCTGTGTTCTACTCACCCAATTTTGAGGGTGTTGGCTTTCAATGTATTGCACATGTAATTTCTGCTAACAGTTCCTAAGTTAATATAGGTTAATATAATTAAAGTTTTATATAATTTTAGATTGTGAATCTTTGCTGTTTAGTCGCTGCTGGTGTAGATACTTATAAGTACAACCTACATGACAGAAATCCTACATGAGCTGGAAAGGACATTTCTGTGCGCCAAAAACTCTGCAGACAGCGGGAAAATTTGTCCTTAAAGAACAGCTCTCTGACAGCACATGAAACAGTTGGGCAGGTGTGAAAACTTTGCTGTTAATGTGTCTTTTTTATTTTAAGGTATGAGAAGATGATTAGTGGCATGTACCTGGGAGAGATAGTGAGGAACGTGCTAATAGATTTCACCGCTAAGGGTCTGCTGTTCAGAGGCAAACTGTCAGAGCGACTGAAGACCCGGGGCATCTTTGAGACCAAGTTTCTTTCACAGATTGAAAGGTGAGCTATCCAAACAAACAGTCTGTCTCTGTTTCCTTCTCTCAGCCCCTTGTGTCAAGGTAATTGTGTGAAAAGAAGAGAAAAGCATTTGAGACCTTGCAGATCTACCATGGAGCTACAGCTACAATACAGAAGAGGATCTAGTTTATTACTACTGCTGCTCTGCTGTTGCTCTTAGGTTCCACCTTTTAACAGTGTTAACTTTGGGAGCAACCTTTTTATTTAGGGTTTGTTCAAAATCTCTGAGTCCTGCCTGAGAATAGTACGAGAGCATAAAAGGTTACAACAACCACATGCAGAGATGAAGCAGCACCACAGCAGAAATAGAAACATGTTTTTCTACAAATAGTTAAAATGACAAGACTAATGCTAAGCTTTCACTACAGCAGCTGACCTGACACCCCTTGATAAGCTCAGACAAGTTTCCAGAAGTATTTAGACGGTTTATAGGGGTCTGACTTTTTAAACCTGCCTATATGGTTCTTAAGAACCAAATATAGTAATTTAATAATTTTATAAATGTAAATATATAATGCAGGTTCACATTTTCATTTCGATCCTGCTAATCTGAATTTTCTTCACTGGCATGTTTACATGGCACATATATAATCACATCGGCTCTGAATTCCAATATTTTATTTTATTTTATTTAATGGTAGCTACTGATGACACTAGGTAAACGAGGTAAACGCTTCCACTCATGGTCCTTCAGTCTGAGGGAATTTATTATGGAAAGTCCTTGAAAAGGCTTGAACTTGTTGTTAACTGAGGTGTGGGAACCCTTTATACTGTTCATTTTATATTTACAGGAGCTACAAAAAAAAACATGGAAGGTTAAAACTTCATCTAAGGGGCAAAAAAAAGACTCTTTTTGACTTGAACTGTAACCTGTGTTTGTATTTGGTGCTTTTTTGGTTAAAAGTTGTATTTGTCCTTTATTCAAAGAATACCCTTTAAAAGTTATTTCAGCCAAAGAGGGATAGAACCAGCTAAAAGATGACATGGTGTCCTCGTGTTTTTCAAAAAGCTTGTTTTTGTCCTTTTATTTTTTGTGAAAAGATTAAAATGAGGCTTCTTTTTATTTTTTAAGAGGAGCTCAATCCTTTTCTTTCCTTAAGAAAGACATAAAAAATATATCCGTATCCTTTTTTGAATAGCCAAATTTGACAAATTTACAAAAGTGGTATCATAGGTAATCCAAGCACTTTACAGTACAGCCCAATGCTGTGAAGGGCATCTCTTCCAGCAGAGGATCAGTGATGTGATGTGAGACTGTGTTTGCTTTGATTGACGTTTTAGTCAAACTTGACAGATTTTTTGTTGCTAGTGTGACCAATGTTGTCACACTTTTGAGCTCTGTGGGCATGTGTCAAAGTTAAAACATGAAATTTTCTTTCAGTTGCTCCTTAAAGAAAGCATACAAAACAAGTGTGGTTTTAATAAAAACAAATATTTCATCAATTCATGATCTTGGTAACACAATAAGTTTGATCATTTATCAGTTTGATACTGTTTCCCACTCCTTGTTTTGCTTTGTGTGATTGAGATCACATGAAGCCTGTATCCCCTGAGAACCAGGATTCAGATTGCATATAAATTACCTATAAATGAAATGTAGGCAGGATGTAAGGCTGCAGGTTCGGCTTTAGACATAAACCACTTATAGCTGTTTGCATTCTGTTCTGTGGCCAGCCTGCACACTTTTCTTCCCGAACCGGTAGTTGCAAACATTTGGGGCCTGATCTTCAAAGATTCCGAATAAGTGCTGAATTGCATGTGTCTTGGAATAAGTGTAACTGTACAAATGTTGGTGGTTCCACCCATTAAAATGAGATGATTGCCTGTTTTGCAGGCAGTTAAAAGTGATTGTAAACCAAAGATGAGTTTCTAAACCATAAAGTTGGAGATGATGATGATTGAAATGCTTTGAAGTATATTGTTATACTAAATAATTAAAATGTACTGCAGTGCTACGAACAAAAGTAATTAATAAAATTATGAAAATAACTGAAGTAAAATATAAAAAAAATCACTTTCTCAAATCATGAGAAAGTTGTATTTGTTGATTGCTTTGCAAATATTTGCATAACCTCCATGAAATTGCACGGTTCGATCTCTAGAATATGGGCTGCATATTGGTTAGCGCACACTATCTGCTGAATTGCAAACATAGATCACTTTGCACCTTTCTTTTTAAATCTGTTCTGCGCTTACAAACTTGTTTTCGCCTGCTTTAAGATGTGCAAACCTTGTGGGAATCAGGCTCTTATGGCGTTATGCTGTACCATGTTTTCAGTGGCGCTCCCATAGTCTAGTCCCAGCTGTCATTAATAAGCTGGTTCTGTGAAGCTGCTGGCCAGTCACTCACCTTTCTGGATCTCCTCCTCACCCTATGAAGGAGATCTTTCACGGCGCTCAGCTGAGGGCAGCTCCTTTCATTTCAGTTTTCATCTGTTCTTCAGTAATTGGAACAGCAGTTATCACCTTCTGACCAACCTTCCCACTAATGGTGTTAAATCCTATCTTAGCCCTCTGCAGTTTCAACATCTTGTTTTTGATGCCAACAGCATATATTTTAATTTCCATTTACTGCAATAAATTAATGAATTACTTCATATTGTGTCTATAAAGATATAATAACTCTTAAAAAATATATTTTAAATATTTAATCTCTTACTAGAGGCTATGACACCTAAACATCACTGATGGAAAGAACCCCTAAATAGCTTAATGTGGGAAAACAGGGTCATTATTACTGACAAACTGCCTGTGATGAGGTCTTTTACTGAGTACAGTTCACTGGGAAAGGATTTATGACCCTTCAACATTTTCTGCATTTAGTCCTAAGACATTAAACCATTCATAACATTTTAATCTGTTATTTCATGTGGTAAATTAGCACCTTGTGCACAACAGTGTGAGGTAAAAGGAAAAGAAGCTGAGGCTTTTTCAAACCGTTTACAGCTAAAAGTCTAAAATGTAACCTTGTATTCTGCTCTGTTACTCTAATACCACTGAATAAAACCAAAGGCACAGTGGATTAGAGCTCACTCCTATAAGCTAGCGTGATTCCAGCTGTTCTTTGAGCTCCATCTTTTCCACTTAGAGCAAAAAGGCAGGATGCACCCTGGACAGGTCGCCAGTCTGTCACAGGGCAACACACTGCAATGTACGCATGAAATTAAAATAATATCCTTTACACACAGGCCATCATAGAGAGGTTGGGACTCATGAACTTGAATAAAGAAAAAACTTAATTCAGGGAAACTAACATATTTTCTAACATTTCTTACTTTCAGTCATGTTTCTGCTTTATTTTAACACCGCTGTGATCTGCAGTCTTTTAGCCAGAGTATTAGTAGAGCTGTGCTACAAAAATAGATTTTACTATTTTGGATTTTTTTATTACCAGCAATCCAGTTTGAGGAATGAACTACATCAGATCAAATCGAAAATAATTTATTTTCAGAGTCGGAAGTGAATCGATTCTTCAAATTTAATTGATATCAAGCTCTTGTATTTAATTTCTACAGCCTTTCTCATAGTGACATTTTGAATGACTCTAGTCTTTTTTTTTTTGTTTTCTTATTTTAACCTTTTTTATTTCATTTTAAGTATTTTTAAAGCTTATCCATGTTTAATTGTTTATTTTAAGTTTACTGTCATTGTCACCTGTAAAGCTACAGCATGTTGATGACTTTTGTTTTGATAAAGTGTTTAATAAATAAAGGATGTATGGTGCCGTATGATCCTGAAAATAAATCAATCAGCACCAAACCTCATTTCATGTCATTCTATTTTTATCTTTGAAAAGCTGAAATGTTCAGCGATTAAAAATATTTCACAGTTTTAATTCTTCTTTAGCTAAGAACTTAACCAGTCAGTGAAAAACCTCAAAATGTCTGATTTCTTTCACAAATGGTTTTCAGAGTCCTGTTGTGATTGAGCTAAAATGAATGAATGTCTAAATATGGTCATTATTGGTCCATGAACGTGTGACTGTTCCTGCTCCCGCAGCGACCGCCTGGCCATGCGTCAGGTCCGCTCCATCCTGCAGCACCTGGGCCTCACCGGCTCCACGTGTGACGACAGCGTTCTGGTGAAGGAGGTGTGCAGCGTCGTCGCTCGCCGTGCAGCTCAGCTCTGCGGCGCCGGTCTAGCTGCTCTGGTAGACAAGATCCGACAGAATCGCAACCTGAATCAGCTCTCCATCACTGTGGGAGTGGACGGCACGCTTTACAAGACGCATCCTCAGTAAGTAACACTTTATTTAGAAACATTTTTTAATTTTATCAAGTCAGAATTACATGAATGCATTAAAGGATTAATGTTTGTGTTGCTGTTTTGTTTATTAGTTTACTTTAACACAAAAGCAGGGAATTGTCTTCGTTTTATTTATTTTTTTATTGGACATTTTAGTTGCGATGCAGAAAACAAGCTGGATTTGCTTTAAGGCAGCCGGTATGCTATGGATGTAGCATATCCGGTTGATTTTGTTTATAACACCTTTAAAACCCTCTAAGCTCACTATAATTTAAGGGTTTCATTTCAATGTCAAATAACATTAACATTATTTATTTGAGCTGCTTTGATATTTTCTGACTCAAGATTTTCGATGCTCAGTGTTTTGTTTCCAGCTTCTTATAGCCATACAAACTGATAGGGTGGCTCTCTCTGATTTCCGCATTCAAACACTAAAAGAAATTGTTCACAAATAGATAATTAGTGACACTCTGTGTGATTCTGGTTAGATAAAATAACAAATGGTCAAAAGTGCTTAGAAATAGATTTAAGCTGCAAAACCCAATTGATATACATTTCCTACTGAGTTCAGTTGGCTTTCATGTTGAATTTCTGACTGAAAAAAGTTAAATCTAATAAAGAGAATCAGGACTTTAGGTTCAAAAACCTTAATATCTGAGAGACTATTCTGAAATAACAAGAAAGTAGATCTTTTTTTAAAAGGAGCTACTTTTTGCACATGTTCACCTGGCACTGCTTTGGGTTCTCGATACAAACAGAAACATTATCAGACAAGATGCCACCAAATAGTGGCCATGCTAACAGTGTTAGCGTCTGCTTCGTAGCTGTGAAAAATAAAATATCGTTCCAGAGTGAAGTCAGTAAACACTGAAGATTGGTGGAGTCGATCGTAATGGCACTTAACTGATCAAATTTATGCAAGAATGAGAAGAAATAAACATCATCCACATCTGGTCTGCCCTGTTCTGAACTGACAGGCTTGAGCTAACCTCTTTTACCTCTGGGAAAGCAGAATATGTCATAAAAGAGATGTATACAGAGTATACAATGAGACTCTGAGCACAGATACCTAAAGAAGGCCAACTTGCTGCTGACACTGGAAGGACAAAACAAACTCGCCTCACTGCAGACCCTGATAAGAAGCAAATCTTTAGGAGCAAGGGTTTCCTCGCATAGATGGTGCAAATACTCCAGGATAGACATTTTGATCGATGACTGCCTGGTTTAGCACACAAAAAGCAAAACGTGGAACCCAGAGGTTTCTTTTAATATGATGTTCTCAATCTTGGTGATATTAGAATAGAATAGAATAGAATAGAATAGAATAGAATAGAATAGAATAGAAAATCTCTTTGTTGCCTCACAATGGGAATATTCTGGTGTTTATTAAAACAGATCAACTATTTTGAATGTCAATCAATAAACAGAATAGCCGATCTAAAGCTTCACGTAAAAGTTGTGCAAAGTTGTGAGCTACGTGAGAAAATGGAAAAAGATGAACTACGATTTCAGTAGATGAATTAAAAATGGCCTTCATTCTGCAGCTGCTCCAATGGAGGTGAAAGTCCTGATAAGTTTAAGCTAAGTCTTGTCTTAAAAAACAAGCAGTATTAGTTTTGTCTGCTATTTACATTAGGAATAAATTGCATTATTAGGAATAGCTTATAGTTCATACAGATTTTAAAATCATATTGCTAATGATGTTGCAATTAAGGTTAATTTGCACAACATTTTATTGCCTGATTCTACTCTTAGTTTGTTTAAAATTATTGAAAATGAAATGTTAAGTCAGTGCAAAAGGGGGGATTGTTAGAGTTAATGACAAATTATTTTCTCTGTTTCTGATAATAATATTTAATGTTATGTGAGCTGGTTATTTGTTCGCTCTTAGTTATTTTTAAAAGTAACAGGAGTGATTTGACCCTGCGGGTTGGTGCCCCGCATGTTTTCCATGTTTCCTGTATTAAAAGAGTAGTACACCCAAAACATGATTAGCCTTCATTTTCTACTCACCCCCATGCTGAACAACACTCTGGAGTACTTTTTTGATATCTCAAATGCATCTGGAGATCTGGGAGGCTTCTTGCTGTCTGCTGACATTCAAATAATGGAGGTCTATGGTGACCGAGGCAGAAAGGTCCATAAAAGTCCACAAAAAACGTGTCAATATTCCTCCATACTGCTCGTCCAATGTATTCCAAGTGTCCTGAGTGGGTAGCATCTATAATTTACTTGAAACGAAGTAATTTAGAATGTTTTTAGAGCATAAACAGTAGTGTATAGGATTTCCTAAAAGCACATTCACGAGTCTACGGAAACCGCGGCAGACCAAACCAGACGAAAGTGCGCATTCAGCTCGGCAAAGAACTCATGCTCTTCCTCAACACTGAAGTCCTCAGACATTTTTCTTTCGTTGTTTCTTTCTTTGCACAGGTAAACAGCACATTTCTTCTTCTACGCTTGCATTATCGGCAGAGCAGACGCTGAATGCGCACTTTCATCTGGTTTGGTCTGCCGAGGTTTCCGTAGCGTCGTGAACGCGCTTTTAGGAAATCCTATACACTACTGTTTATGCTCTAAAAACATTCTAAATGACTTCGTTTCGAGTAAATTATGGATGCTACCAACTTAGGACACTTGGAATACATTGGACGAGCAGTATGGAGGAATATTGACACGTTTTTTGTGGACTTTTATGGACCTTTCTGCCTCGGGCATCATAGACCTCCATTATTTGAATGTCAGCAGACAGCAAGAAGCCTCCCAGATCTCCAGATGCATTTGAGATATCAAAAAAGTACTCCAGAGTGTTGTTCAGCATGGGGGTGAGTAGAAAATGAAGGCTAATCATGTTTTGGGTGTACTATTCCTTTAAACAAATCCAGCTGAAATCGCTCTGTTTCAAGCAGGCTCCCTTAGAGCTCTAAATCGCAGATATATTCAGTGAAAGCAGGTTTGGGGGGAAGGAAGCCGAGGGGCTCTGGGCCTCTCCGGTCAACGATCCCCAACTCGTCTGTAAACATTAATTTTTTTTTCTTTTCTTCTCCCTCTTGTATCCTAAAGTTTCTCAAGCATCATGCAGGAAACCCTGCAGGATTTGGCCCCACAGTGTGAGGTGACTTTCCTCAAGTCAGAGGATGGCAGCGGGAAAGGAGCAGCGCTCATCACAGCTGTGGCCTGTAGGTTCAAGAGTGAGAAGCTGCTGTGAATCCACACGACGACAGCAGAGCTGCAGCAACTTTCTCCCTTTGGGTCAACATACTGTGCAGTCAATCACCAATCTGTAGTCTCTTATGTTATGTATGTTTAGTCACACGTGGCTGTCTGTGCTTGATGGTAGGAAGTGAAGCTGTGACGGAGGTCTGGGTGTAAATTAGGCTCAGAAATCACAGGTGTGGTAATGAGCCTTCACCCTCTGTGAGACACGACTGTTACGAGCATTGGGCTTTTGTTTCTGACACTCCCTAAATGTCTTTTATGTCTATACTTAGATTTTGTTCTATTTTTAAGTCAAGGCTGTCAATTACGCATTGCAGTCCGCCATGTTTAAAAAAAAAAAAAAAACTCCCAGACCAAAAGCAGATCATGGCATGCAGCTGGTAAATGATGTTTTTTTTTATACCATTGTATTTAAGAGTAAAATGATTTTCATTTTGTTACAGACGACTTTAGGAAGCATGCAGAACAGCAATGAAAATGTTTGGTATATTTTATTCTTTTCAAATATAAACATTAGTCACAAACTAAACTGTTATGAAGCTATGGAAAACTAAAATCTTTGGAAAGGCTGCAAATAACTGGAAGTGGAAATGATTCACACTGTGCTGTACTGATTGCTGCAGGCTTATTTTAATACTCTGCCCAAATAAAGAAACGTCAACAACTGCAAGTAAATTTTAAAATCCCAGAAATCGTTATTTTCTTTCCTGGAAGAGAAGAAAAACATGAGATGATTCCAACACGGACACACTTACTGCTGGGGTGGACAAAGATGACGGTGTAAACAGTCTCCATCCTAATTGACTGGATCCATCTGTTTATTTACTATTAATCTGCACGAAATTTACTCTTATTTTTTAATGTTGTAATTACCTGACAAGGGAGCAAAATACATATAAATACAAATCATGAGCAGCTCTAAACAGACTAAAGTGTGTGATATTTATGTTAATTGATTTCATCCAATAAGCCCAACACAGAAAGAAAAACGTGTCCTTTTTCCTGTTTTGTTGTGTTTTATTTGTTTAGTACGTCTATCACCGTAGAAACCAGCCAATGATTGTCTGGCCTTTTGTTATGTCTGCAGGCCAACAAACATCAGCTGTTGGCCCGGGTTCACAGATGGGCTGTGCTGCTCAACAGGCTCACAGCAAACTACAAGAAATGTCCATCAAAGCCGACTGAGTGCCAGAGATGTTAGAGCCCATGAGCTGCGGATGGAAATAAAACCTTTGCATGAACTTTTTATTTGTCTGCCTAAATTTCAGATGCAATTGTTTTGATTTTCCGGCCTGCATTTTCCTCTTTTCTTAAGAAAAAATAAGTTATTGTTACACATCACCAATTTCTGATCACGAGTCATTCAACAATCAAAGTTTCATGATGTCTGGACGTTATTCAAAGCCTTTGCTGATTAAATATTCCAAGGTTATCTTGTTTTTTTCCCTTTGGGGGAGGAAAAACATCAGCGTCAGAACCCAAAGAAGAAAAAAGATATCTCTCTTTGATCTCCTCCGAATGTGCAGCTTGTAACAAACCTTTGTGAGCATCATCCAAACAAATCCGACACATGTAACTCCAAGTGCTGCGCCCTCCACGGAAAGATGCATCTCGCATTCTAAGAGAAGTATGGCCACACTGTGCTCATCTTAGGAGGGTCAGAATATCCCCTCAGCTAACACTTGTCAACCGAGTCTAATTAGTGTTAATGTACTTGGCTTTTTCTGACTCATTGTCACTGCACAGACCTTTATAATGAGCCTTTGGTCCTTTGAATGGCGTTTGTGACACAAGGACGGCAGCCGACGATTAAATTACTGAGATGCTTCTCATGAAAGTGCTGCTAGTCGCTGAGCTACTCGGACACGTCGATGTCTGCAAGCCCCAAACTGAAAGGGAAGTGAGGGCAATTTTCTCATTCCGTAAAAAATTATATTAGGAATGTCAATTTTAATTAAGGCTTTGTGTTCTCAGTGTGTAGCTGGGACAATATCTTAAGCCCACTGTAGCCATGGATGGATGATAACAACGCTGAGCCTCATTAGACTGCATCTTAAAGATCAATATTAAAAAGTCAGATGACGTTGGAGGAAAAATGGAGTCTGGTAGTTATTTAATATCCCTTTGGACTTTTTTTCTATAGTGAAATGAGTTGAAATTTGATGTTCAGACAGGAGTTTGTTTGTGTTTTAAAAATATTTTTGAAAGCTTAAATTCCTGTATAAATAGCCAGTATTTGTCTTGAAACTGACCGCATTGGAAAGCAACAGCTGAATTGAAGAGATACCTTTTTAATGTAATGTATTCATTTCCAACTTTCTGTGAGGTCAATTACAATTTCTATTTACTTTACTGAAATACAATAGAGGCAATGGCTACTCCATAATAAGCAATTCACAGATCCTACCCTTGGAAACCATAAAGCCATTTCCAACCTGCTGCTGTGAAGACAAATGATGAGCAGCAAGAAGAGCCAAGAAAACATCCAATATATTAAATGATGGGCTCTGAAATGTTTGGCTCAGCTCATTTTCAATCAAATAAATGAAAAAAAAGTAATAACTGAGACCAAATAAAATAGTTCGGTCATCGACCAATTTGTTGTGAAGTAGCAGTAAAGGCTGGATAGCACCAATATGGTCATTCTGTTGTGTGTAGTAGATTAGAAGTGGATTAGAAATGATTTTATTAAATGGATGATTATTATATTATTATTATTAAATGAAATGATTAAACGGATTAAGACTCAGAAATTATAATTTTCATTTTAACCTAATACTTCTACATAAATCCTACCATCCAACCCAATAAATAAATATGTAAATCAGCATTATAGTAATCATTTATACAAATATAATAAGAAAAGGTGAAGTTTTTGATGTTTGATGAGGGTCACAACATAAATGATCTTACCTGTGTGAAGCATTGCTTTAAAATGAGCCTGAAAGGATACAATATCTATGGTGATGTAGTCTTAAAATGTTTTTTTTTTTTTTTTTTTTGTTAGATGTGAAAAGAATTGTTATAAAAGTTATTAGGGATCAATATCATGGACAGAATTTTATAGTTTTTTTATCCATGTCCCACTTTCTAATGATTCTGCCCCAAAGGAGGCTGCATGATTATCTGGGGGTGATGTGATCTAACCACAGAAGATAGACCGACAACAGACACTACTTATACGACAGAATTGGCTGTCCAAATTGTGGCCATGCTAACAGTGTTAAAGTTAGCGTCTGCTTCGTAGCTGTGAAAAATAAAATATTGTTCCAGAGTGAAGTCAGTAAACAATGAAGATTGGTGGAGACGATTGTAATGGCACTTAACTGATCAAATTCCTGCAAGAATGAGAAGAAATAAACATCATCCACATCTGGTCTGCCCTGTTCTGAACTGACAGGCTTGAGCTAACCTCTTTTACCTCTGGAAAAGCAGAATATGTCGTAAAAGAGATGTATACAGAGTATACAATGAGACTGAGCAGATACCTAAAAAACTCATTAATGCATTAAATTGATGCCAATTTAATGCATTAAGTTGTGTACAATAAAAATGTGTTTTTATTGTACATGGAGTACAATAAAAACACATTAAATCATTATCCAAAAAAGCCCAGCAGAGGATGTACTTCCTGGGGCAGCTGAAGAAATTCAACCTGCCCAGGACAATGATGGTGCAGTTCTACTCCTCCATCATTGAGCCCATCCTCACTTCCTCCATCACCATCTGGTATGCTGGTGCCACCACTAAGGACAAGAGCAGACTGCAGCGTGTCATCCGGTCTGCAGAGAAGGTGATTGGCTGCAGTCTCCCATCTCTCCAGGAGCTGCACGCCTCCAGGACTCTGAGGCATGCAAGGAAGATTGTGGCTGATCCCTCGCACCCCAGTCACAGATTATTTCAGTCACTTCCCTCTGGCAGGAGGCTGCGGTCCATCAGGACCAGAACCTCCCGTCGCAAAAACTGTTTTTTCCCATCTGCTACCGGCCTTATTAACAATGCCAAGAGCCGCCCGTGACACTGGACAAAGTTTCTCTCCCCCATTCAGGATTTCTGCGTTACATTATCGCACAGTCTACTGTGTTTATATAGCTTCTGTGTATATATATATATATATTCTAATTTTGTTTTTTGTCTGCACCAACAAAATCAAGTCAAATTCCTTGTAAGTGGCAAAAAACTTGATTCTGATTCGGATCTTTAAAAAATCTGAATTTTTTTCTTTTAAAACTAGGTTATTTTTGAGGAAATTAAACTTTAACATTTTTTAATAAAGTGATTGTTTTTCATTTCATTTAGCCGGAGCTTCTCCTGTCAGCTTAAAGATTCTGCACTGACTGCGTTTATTTTTCCACCTAGCTGTTAATAACTCAGATGTTACCTATTGGTACAAAATGTGAGTGAAGCCCATAGTCAGTGAGTAATATAAGTGTTTACAGGGTCATGCTCTTAACATTCTCTCTTCAAACACCGGTCCTCATATATCATTGTTTACTTTCATGAGTCACGATTTTCCACAATCTTTGATCAGTGGAGGATCTGCTCAACTTCTAAGATGCTTTGAGACCAAGAAATAACAGACTGACTCATTTCCATAAGAGTGAAAAAACATGTGGACCTCAAAGACTCCTTAAAAAAGTGAGAATAGTGAAGCGGTTCTGTTTAGACTCGTGCCCTTCACTGTACCACCTCAAGCAACGAGCTTGCAGTTTCAGTGTGCCCTAATCACGCACCTCTACACATCTGCTATCTCTGATCTCTGAGAGATTCATTCGACTGAAGTGTTTTCTCACAACCTGAGAACGTTATTTTCAGCAGGCTAATAAGGAAGCTGTCCTAAGAGTGTGTGGAAATACTGAAGGAGCTGTATTGAAGCCCAGCAAGATGCAGTCTGAAGCACCTGCAAATGTCGCCAGAATGATGCCGCATTACAGAACAGATATGAGTCAGACATGGCTCGCTGTGGGGGTCAAAAAGGTGGCTTACCATGCTGCAAAGGTGGGGATAACAAGCTAAAGAGGAACATTATGTTGAACAAAGTGGAGAAAACATCTAACCTAAAACATAGATAAGATGGTTTAACATGTTTAGGAAAACTGAAAACCTTTGATCACATAAGGAAAGCCTGGTTACAGTAAATATTTCTTGACTGGTTGACCACTTTGTCCCTCAGCAGCAACATATTAGCAGCTTTTTAAATACTCAAACATGCATTATAGTTTGTGCATGTTTGAAAATTTAAAAAGCTGCACAAAGTTGATAGGGAATAGAGAGATAGGGGCTGCAGTAGGTGCAGAGCAGTGAATACCCATCCCCTGTACGAAGCACCTAGCTTCAACATTTCAATATACAGGCCTAAAGTTATCTCAGCAAACCTCAAAAAAGCATGATCTAAAACCTTATAAGCAACACTGGGGCAAAAATAATATAAATATTTGGTCACTTTTATGTACATAGATACAGAATTCCTGCTCTTTTCATGGTTATTTTTGGCATTGTATCGGGAAGATGGGAAACTTATGTTTCTCTGCAGTTATTTAGGTTCAGTTAGAAGATGTTCTCAAACTGTTTAACTGGAATAAATAAAGATTAAATCTTCATTTATGACGTGATATCCGAGGTATACAGAAAAAGGTATAAATTTGAATGTACATTTAAAATTATGACTTCAAATGTTATTAAACATATTTAAATATCAATATCAGTTCTGTGCTTACATTCATAAACACATAGAGTAAAGATGTTAAATTTATCTTTAAGAGTCTTCAGTCTGTTCCATTGTTATGTTTGGAGCTGATTGTCTGGAATGTTTGGGAAGCGCTGATCTTCTATTTAATTAGAGATAAATAAAAATTATCAACTCATTAAGTTTGCATATTATGCAGAACTATAAATGATTAATTTAGTCAGCATATATGTGATAATATGCGTGGGAATTTATCAGCAGTATCGTGAAAATCTAGTCTTTTTTCAGTAATTGCTTTGGAAAATGCAGATGCTGACAATATATATTTTTACATATTTAATGTAGATTCAGCCATGCCTGGCCCCCCATGTGAACATTTTCTGGCTGCGCTAATGTCCTCCTTCCCTCTGACTTCAGTGAGCTCAAATAAAAATGGAAAATGATTTTTTTGAGAAAAGGATGTAATGTTTTTTTTATTTATATCCTGAAATAATGTTTATCAATTTCAAAGGGAGTCTGGGAACTAGTTTGTATAACTGAAGGATTTAAACTTTATTGATCCGCAAAAGGGAAAATTATTCCCTCCTTAAACAACCAATACAAAAACAACTAAAAATTAAAAACACACACAGCACAATAATATTATTAAAACTATATATATCTAAAGAGTGAATTTCTGGAGGCTCTATTAAGATTATGAATGCTTACAGCCTCCGGCAGGAAAGAGAAATCCTTGTGCCTCTCTACTATACAAAGGGCTGAGATATTTTTCCATAACGCCTCTGATGTTCACCAGTATTCTGTCTCTCATCACCTGTTCCAATAGAGCCAGACGGTCCGCTCTACTGACTCGGTCTCTTTCTATGAGTTAGTTCAGTCAGCTTAAGTCTTTTATTTTAATTCCAGCACAAAAAAAGATAGAAGTTTCCATTGTTAGTTGATAAACCATCCGGAGCATCCTAATTAAGACATGAAAGAACCAAAGCTTGGATAGAAAAATGGTCTCTACTAATGCCTTTTATGTATATTACCTCCATGTTCATAGCGAGCAGTTCATTATAACTCTGAGGTATTTGCACAGCCTAACTGGTTGCCGTCATGTGTGGCTGAAATGAATAACTGCTTCTTTAGTTTAGTCTATGGTTAACTGTAATGCGTTCACCCCACACCGCCTCACTATGGTGTCCGAGGTTCCTTGTCCTCGCCTTATTCCCCTAAACACACCTTACTATACCTTTTCTAGAACAGTACTTAAAGGGCCAAATGTTGTTCTAAATCAACCTTTTTAACCTAAACTATGTCATAAGAATCTTCAAAAACAAAAAAAGAAACGACTTCCTTCGATTATGGAGGTGCCATGTTAGGCAGAGTGAGAGGAATCTGGCTCAGAGGCAAATTGATTCTTTAATTAGATATCTACACAGGACAGGGAGGGGCCGCTTCACTTTAGTCAACTGTTTTTATCTTTTCTTCTCTAGAAACAACTATATTCCTTAATAACACCCATGTAGTTCTAAAGGATACTTCATCATAAATTTGCCTACAGGTGACTGTTAGAAATCCTGATGTAGGACCTTTAGTGTAGTTGGTGTAGAACAAAGGGTAAACTCGCAAACTGCAGTCTGCCTGCCTAATCATTCATCCAGGTGATGAATGATGTGTCCATAGTCATGTTCTTCAGCTTCTGCCTCAGCAGTTCTGAAGGATGATAAAACGTTACAGAAAAGGATGCAGACAGTGTTATCAGGCATGTCCGGGGGGGAATCTCTGTAGCAGAAATATAAATGCACCATTTCTACCGACATGAGGCTGGTATGAAAACTAGAGAGGGTCCTGGGTTGTTATTTAAAGGGTGCTCAGATGCACCAGAACCAGCCTCTCTAAGACTTTTATATGTTCAGAGATCTCAGATTATCATTCAGTGATTTACGATGAACTTTCTGTGACACTAAAAGCAGCGAGTGAAAAGGTACTCAGCTGACTCACACAATGTTTGGTCATTTTATTAACTTAAACGTGTGTAGTTGGTACAAGTATTACAAGCAGATATGCTTATAGGACAATTAGGATGTTTAATAGATAACAGATCTAGAATCGAAATGCAGCATGCTGCTCTGTAAACAAATTTCTATAGTCTATCTTAAGATAACCTTTTTTTTTTTTGTTTAGAATAAGGATTGGATAATAGCTCTACTTTATGGAGTGTGAAGGGAAACACATCTCCAGATCAGAAAACCCACCCTATAAAGCTGTTATTCATTAGTATGACCTTTATTTCATTATGACCAGCAGACACTCGTGGTATTCTAGGTTCTGCTGAGTCGAATCGATCCTGTTTTTTCACTGCCATAATATTCCAAAGCTAATTAGAACAGAAACATGTTTTTCATTTTGAATTGTGACTTTTACATTGAAAACAACATCTGAAGAAGGACCTGGGTTTGCGTCGGAACGGAGAGAGGGACCGGGCGCTATGGCGGCTGGAGCTGGGACGTTCTCTGCTGCGTTTGCATGACCGCTTACGACCCCTGGAGCGGAGTGTGGAGGACGGAGATGAGAGAGCGTCTAGACGGGAACTTCTTCGAGCCGGAGGATTGGAGGTAAGTTTACTTGTCTGAATCAAAGTCCGACATAGGAGCGATGGATCTTGCGCTTGTTGAAGAGCAGGCCTAGAGATGATTTGGAGTGGCTTTAAGTAGAGTGCTGGAAGATGATTGGGCATCGAGGAAAGTGGCTTGAAGCGGGTTGGCTGCGTTGGAGGCGGATCAGCCTCAGATTGAATGGAAATAATCAGAGTTTCTTCAGTTGAATTTAGCTTCATAAAGAAGCTTGTTAGAAAAATGTTTGAAATGCAGCTCTGATGGAAAGTAGAAAGCTCTGGTCTGAAGAATCAACACATGTAATTATCCTGTAACAAGACCATCTGGTTTGTTATCAATGCACATGTCTGCTGTAAAGGCATGCAGATGCAGCACTGCACAACTATGACTAGCTAAAGCATCTGTGAATGCATCATTAATGCTAGAAGCTATACGCAGAGTTTAAAGTTACATGCTGTATGCTGCCAGTGAGATGTAGATGTTTCTTATATAAAATCCAAATACATTCTGCTCCTAAACGCGACTCAAAAGTAGAAAGGTGAAAAACCTTTAAAAACATAATGAAGCAGAAGAGAAGATGCAATATAATGATGTAGACGCTTCTGTTTGTGTCTGTTGTTAAGAGAAAGTACTTTTTAAAGACTATTTGTTGATATATTTTATACTTAGTTACTTATTAAAACAGATGATGGTGTCGTGTGAAAGGAAGATTGCACCAGGAAATCAGACAATCAAAGTCAATATCGCTGGTTTATTTGAAGCTGCAGCTTATCAAGAAACAATTCTTATTAAATGCATTTTTATTAGAGCAAAAAAAAAAACAACAATGATTAAAAAGAGACAGTTACAAACTCAGCATTACAAATAACACTAACAAAGCCACCTAGCTTGATTTGTTCAAGACAGATACCAAAAGAAATGGATTACAACACAAGTTTCACAACACAACAAAGCTGAGAGAATCACGGTACACGCCGTAAAAGTTTGCATTTCGAGCCATAAACACAGACTTACGCGTTTGGTTCTTGCTGAGTGATCATCAGGTAACATAGCAGAGGAGTAAAATAAAACACCTGTTTTGACATCATTAATACATTTACATAAATGTAACTAACAGTAATAAAGAAACCAAAGTCCACTTTGGTTTCACACATTCTTTGTGTATGACACTGGAGGGAGAGTACATTCCTTTCAAACACAGACAGATATTTAATGTCATAAATACAATTTGACATTACGTAGATTTTAATAATAGAAGTTAAACAAAAGACAAGATGCGTTTGTTCTGTGCTTTGATAAAAAAAAAAAAAAATAAGATTTTTCATTCACAGGTACATTCATTAAATAATTAACAACACATTATTCACCATTCCACAAATAATTATGAAACACTGGGAACCAGTGGCTAATTGAAAGGACCTGGACAATTCCCACGGGGCTGATTTTATATTTGGATCAGAGGGCCGCTGATCTTTTAAATTTTTTTTTATATTTTTCTATGCCAGTGTTCACCCATGATTGGATCACTAACGCTGCTACTGCCGTCCCTGGGCTGCCTCCGCCTATACTGACAGCTTTTCTTTTTTCTGTGCACCATGACCTGACGCATCAGTGCACTCAGTCGGACAATGGTGTCTGAAAGATGGAGAGGACAATGAGCAACGGCGGCATAGAGGATACCAAAATGAAAGAGGAAATCTCAGGAAACAGACGCTGCTAAATGTACAAAACTTGATGGCTTCCTCTAGTAAAAGGAGCTCGAGGTTTGAAACGTGCAAAGACATCAATAAAGCGGGCATGGCAAGATGTTGAACTTTACCTGCAAACCATTGAACATTAATGATCAACTCATTGCATTTTGTGGTGTTGTGATGCATAAAATATAGTTTAAATAATAACATGATGCAAGGCCACATAAATGGGAGTATATGTCTTGTAGCCCCTCAGAGTCAGAGGGACTAAACAGCAGCACCAAGTAGCCATGAGCACACAATGTCTGAGTTAGCAGGTAGGATTACTCAGTAAGTGAATATTAGGTTAATATAATGAAGAGTATGGTGCAGTTCTGTAGGATCAGATGGATGATCACGGTTTTTCTAAATGTTGCTCAGTGTCAGAAGCAAAATCAGCTGTAATGATGGGATTGCTCCTGTTAGCATGGAGGAAACACGGGCTGTTATACAGCGTGTGAACAAACAAGCATAAGTTCTAAATACTTTCTATAGCCAAGCCATACAAGTGACTGGGTATATTTTTTTAGCATTTAAAGCAAATAGTAATAACATAAGACAAGCCCACAGGTGAAATGAAATATTATGAAATATGAAATAAAGTAATATTAAGCCCTCAACATAATTAATTTGTTAAGTTGGAAATGTGTATTTCGTATCGAATGTGCTTAAACTTTAAAGATTAGTATTTTTTATGTAATGCAGGTCCAGGAGCATCTAGGGAAACTGAAGGATCTTTGAAATATTCATATTTTCATTTTGCAGGTTTGGATATCTGTGAGATCTATTATAGAGAAAATGGTTGGGAATTTGCACTACTGTTTGAGTATATCTGCATTGAGAAACAACCCTTACTTATAATGTATTAGAAGCTAAATTAAAAGCTTTTACAGAACAATGAGATGTAGTAGAATACCTGTAAGTTTTTAAAATAATAATAGGTCATTAAGTGGGCCTGTCTGAGGTGTGAAAACCCAGGCATGAAAATTAGTCCCACTACGGCCCTACTGGGAACCCACAGAACAGAGTGCAACCGAATACCTTTAGAAGATACTCAGACCTCTTTCCCACTACAGGCAAATATAGCAAAAATACTTTTTTTCCTTTAGGACTAGTAGGAACTTTCAGATCTGGCTCATATCTAGTCACCTTTACTCCTAGAAATGGTCCTCAGTCTGACTCGTAGCCCAGTTTTTTAATTGGAACTTCGGTGGGAAGAACTCATGCAGATGTTATGCACAGCACTGTTATTTTAAGCTCAGACTGGCAGCAGAATCATAACCCTTAGAATCCTGTTCAGTAAAGTTTAAAATTTTTGTTAGAGAACTTAAGTAAATAAAGAACTTCAGGAAGACCATTGAACACAATGACTTGAAGGACGGTTCGGTTGAACAAAACACTATACCAATATTTGAACAACAGCTTTCCTCATTCCAAGGTTTAAACATGAAATGACTTCGATGGATCTGTCTATTGGAGCAGTAGCTTATTAGCCTGGGTGCCATTCCGAACTTAGTCCCGCCCACAACGTTTGAGGTCGGGAAGTTCGGTCTGGCATTGCTCAATAGTAGCGCGAGTATGCTTGCACAATATCTGGTGGGCCAATCAAATTGTCAGGGCGGGCTTTATACGATGATGGCCAGATGATCAACAGTAACGTAATCAACCACGTCACCAAAGCGCGCTTGGGTGACAACAACAATGGAGGCCGCTGGAGAGTTTAGGTGTGTAGATTCTGCTATTAGGTCTGTCCTAGAAGATATCGACAGCAAATACATTTTAAAAGTGGAACAGAGAAACACGATCAAGGCTCATCTTCTTCTTCTAGGCGTGCAACTGCACGCTTTGATTTTTGTTGACAACAACTATGCGTCGCTTAACATACGTCCGTTGCTCTTATTGGTTGTAGGTCTATCCAATTAAGTGCAGAGGCATTTTTTTCCTGGTTCGTTCGAAACACGCCCCATACTCACAGCTCTATGGAGCAGTATCAGACTCATATTCTGACTAGAATTGAGTAGGACTACGTCAGGCTAGTGGCTTATCTGCTGATCGGGAAGCCAGCTCTGTGATTGGATGCCTTCTGGAGGTGCCTTCAGGAGGTGGGAAACAAAAGGATCCTAACTAAATTAATATCTCTGATGGGTAATGTCTCCCACCCCATGCATGGAGCTGTTGCAGAACTGGAGGCTCCTGCAATGACAGACTGCTGCACCCTAAATGCAGCAGGGAGAGTTATCACAGATCCTTCCTCCCAGCAGCTGTAAGACTTTATAACCATCAACAACCTCAATAAGTTGTTACTTTCATGCTGATTTTCTAGTCTCTATCTCAGTTAGTTAAACAACACGCTGCTTTCATTTTGCACATCTCTGATGCTTCTGCTATTTTCAAATATTAATTACAGTAAAAATTTTCATAGCTGTATATTCTTTTTTTTTATTCTCCAGAACAGTTTTTAAATTGTTATAACACTTTACAGTCCAGTATTTTATTGTTTATCTTGTAACCCCTCACTATTATGGTATTTGTATATATTTTTCTAAGATCCATATTTGGGTGACCATTTTTTCTGTTATCTGTTTGCTGCTGTAAACACCAGAATTTCCCCATGTGGGACAATAAATGGATTTTCTATTGTTAGACATAGCGCTAAGCTGAAAGGAAGGAGAAAAAGATCATCAACCGCAGGAGCAGCGTAGTAGCCAACGGTCTCTCTGTAGGAGAGGCAGAGATCCCCAACTCATGTGGAAAAGCTTGTCTAAAGAACAGTAGGTGAGCTGGATGGAGCTAAATTCAGAGCGAAACCAAGGGAAATTGGTCTGTGCAGAGATATAACCCCAAAAACTGTGATTCCAAAATGTTTTGACTCAAAACACACATTACTCCTGAATTGTGTAATATAAAAACTTCAAATGTTGCTGTTGTTTTTTTTCGGTTTGATTACATCTTTAGTCATAAGAAATGACAAGAAGCTTAGACAACGTGTCCCTATGAACAAACACAGCTGGGATATAATTCAAATAAACATTGCAGTTAATGCATGTTTATGAAAAAGATAATCTGCAAGATATTTGCTTTTTGTTTGCATCTTTGTGTCATTTTTGCGACTAAAAAGGTTTACAAGGAAAATTCCTGCAAAGCTTTAAGCAATAAATCTCAAAGTTGTGTCCTGCTGTCTGAGTGATCCGTTTTGATCCATTAACATTGTGCTGAACGTTGTGTTTGCTCCATTTCTGTTCTGTCCATCTTTTCTGCTATCTGCTCATTCTCAGTGTCATTTTACCAAAACAAATAGAGCTAATTATTCTCCGGAGCAGACTCAGCCAATAGCCTCAGCAGGTGTGAGCAGTTTGCTGCTTAAAAATCTAAACAGATCACACATTTCAAGCGAATTCCAGGCTGAGATGTTAATGTCTGCTAACAAATAGAGATTTTATTTAAGGTTAAATAATATATCAGTTTTCTTGATTTATTTAGTAATAAAAAAAATATTGCATCAGAAACTCAAGATTAATTTGGAATTTTCGTTACTGCGATTGAAGCCTTCCACATTTCTTCTTTAAGACTGACCCAAAGCCAAATTTAATCTCATTTCACCCTCTGCGCAACCAATCTGCTCAGCCAGAGCGACGAGCTTTGCTCTCATATTTCTATTATATTTATTCACTGGAAGTTTCTAGGATCAAATAACTTAACCACATTTTTTGAATTTGGTGTTTAGGAGTCTGACGTTCTTATCCTCTAACTTAATGGTAAAATCTGGTTTCCAGTAAAAGTTTTCAACACACTTTATAACTGTTAATTTCAGCAGCACAAGACACACAGTACAACACATTTATAAAGAAACAGATTTTACATCTATGACCAACACCAAATTACAGAAACACGACTAACTGCTTAACATAAAACAGGCTGGTAGATTGTTCACCTTTATAAATACTGAAAATAGCTTCAACTCTGTGTCTTGATTTAGGGAAGCCATTTTAAGATGCATGTTGGGATCTGGAGGTCTGTCCATTTTTCTCCACCAGAGGGCGATCTAGGTCTCCTGGAGCTGGAGCTGACTTCACCACCTGCGGCTCGTTTGCTCATCAGGAGACCAGTATATAAGGAGGCAGAGGACATCACTCCGACGCCAGAGTGTTTTGCCAGTTATGGTTAGCAAGCCTGAGCCAACCTGCCTGTCTGAATCTCTGACTCCCAGAAAGCCTGAACCTGGACCTAATCTGTTTTGTCCTCTCTGCTTCCCAGGTTGAACCTGCCTGAAACCTGAAACCTGGAAAAGTTTCTCTGCTGGAAATCTGTCAGTCTGATCTCTGAAGAACCCTGGAGAATCAAACCTGTCAAAGACCTGCCTGCCCGCTCTCAGAAGAATCTGAAAGGGAAACTCAAACCTGTTACCTGCAAACTCTCAAACCAAGCTCTGCCTTCGCCAAGCCCTCAGCCTGCCGACAGCCTCTGGACCCTCCTGGTTCCCCCTCTCTGCTCAACTCCAGATCAGGTACAGACCTGCACTCTCTAACTCTGCAAATTACCTGGACTTCAGCTAACCACTCTATCCCCCTCTGCAGTGAACCCAGTCGTGACCATTCCTGGATCTAATAACCCCTTGGATCAGTTCTTTATTCTCTGTGTTGTTTTCAATAAACCTTTGAACTTTTTCCCTTGAGTCCGTGTGTTCTGCATGTGGGTTAGAAACCTTAAACCAAACATGACAATGCATAGTTTATGTAGGTTCCACAGGAAGGACTTGAGGTGCTGAAAAGCTTTAACTTGAGGTGAGTATAGGTCAGTGTAATATATTAAATAGAAGTCTATAATGTTTAAAAATAAAGTTTTACATTCTCACATTTGTTAAACAATGTTTTTCCACTTCTACTGCACCATTCCTCCTGTTTCATA